AGCAGTGCGCCCGCTAGCAGGCTCCGGCCTCTCTGTTCCCCGAGTGCGGTGGGTCCCTTCTCTTGAGGGAGACTCCAGCCTCCTTGGCCTCAGCAGGGCTGCTCCCCAAGAACAGATTTCAGTCTTCATCCTTCCAAGGACACAGGCACCCTGACCATGCCCCGGGGGGCTCCCTGCCGACCGCCTCCAGAGGGGCCTCCAGGGGCCCTGGGTCGCTGCCTGGTCACTCTTTGAGGCTAAAGGCTCCCGCCACGTGCCAGTGGCATCCTCGGCCAGATCCCTGCTGTCCCCGAGCACGTCCACAGCTGCTCACGGCTGGGGCCCGGGGGGGACGCTCCCCAGGGCTGTCCCCAACTGTGGCTGTTTTGGGGGTCACCTGAGACGTCAGCGGTGGTTCCTCGGCCGTGCCGAGCGTGGGGAGGGCTGCTGTCTGCCCGCTCGGGCTGGGCAGCCGTGGTGTGTGGAACCGTGGCGGGGGCGCGGCCACAACTCCCTAACCGTCTCTGTCAGCGGCCTTTTCCATAGCTCTTCCGGGGAAAAGACAAAGGCTTGTAGAACACGAGGGGCTGGTTTCCAGCAAAGTTTTTGAAATGCAAACACAAGCCATAGGAGGACTAAGAACTAGAAACCGCGATTCCTTTTGAGAAAAGGTCAAGGGCTCAGACGCACAGCCAGCACCACCTCTGCTAACCCACAGCCCGGGTGAGGTGGGCTCACCACGTCTGGTCTACACAGCGGGCGGCAGGGCCTGGCAGTGGGGCTCGGGGAGCTTAGTGGGCTCTGGACGGCGCCTGCAGGGGGCTGGGGGACCACGTGTCAGGCCCAGGCAGTGGCCCCATCGTCCTGGGGAAGCAGTGGCTACAGGCTCAGAGCATCCCCGTGCCTGCAACGTCGCGGAGCCTTCTCTGACAGCTGCTGGTGGCCCCCTCCCCAGGCACGTGCGGGGCAGCCCCCTGGGGGTCCCTCCAGCCGTGCGGAGGACCCGGTCCCGTGTCCTGGGACTGACCCCAGAGAGCTCCCCCGTCTCCCCTCTCCCCGCACCCTCGCCCCGCCTTCTGTCTGGCTCTGTCCTCGTAGCTGTGGCTCCTCCTGGAAGAGGGGGAGTCGTTGAAAACAGCACCCCCCGAAGGTGAGCCCCGTGAACAGTGTTTCTTGCTGCCAGGGCCACAGTGGGAGCGTGGCGGTCAGTAACGGAACCTGCCAGACAGGCAGTTCACGGGCCCTGCTCAGCCGCCACCCCGGGAGCGGAACCGGGCAGCCTGCGACCGCGTGGACCCTCATCCTCGCTCTACAAAGGGGGCCAGGGAGGGTCGGCCTGTCACCACACGCCCTTCATCCCACTGTCACGATGACGGGGCGAGGAGGACACTCTGTGCCAGGGCAGGTACAGCTCTCCCCACTTCTAGAACACGGCGTGGGCCCGCCCTTCCAAATGTTGGTCAGCGGGTGACTCGCCACCCTGGCCCCGGTGCACACAATCTGAGATCCTGTGTCCCCCACAAGCGCCTGCTGGCCCCCCCAAATGGTCACTGCGGGCCTGAGGGGGCCTGACTGGGAGCGTGAACACGTGTGAGGGCGTGTGCAGGTGAGGGTGCACGTGAGAGAATGGAGATTGGCTGTCAGGCTGTCACTATCTCCCCGTCCCTGTCCCTGTGTGTCTCTGTCCCCATCTCCGTGCCTCTGTCTCTCCTGGTCTCCCTATCTGTCTGTTCCCGTCTCTGTGTCTCTCCGTGTCCCCATCTCTCACTCGCAATTGTTGTGACCACTGGGAGTGGTCGCACCGGCTCCTTTCCTAAGCGTGAGGGCGCAACGAGGGGCCAGATCCCCCCACACCTTCCTCGACGTCGGTCTCACCGGACACCCTACCATTCTCCACCGATCTTGGACTTGGGCCGAGTGGCAGCACGTAATTTTGAAATACGCCATGATTAAGCAGAAATTGCCCAAATAAACCCTGCCCTTGTGGGGGCCCGTACCCCGGGCCCCTCACTGCTCCAAGTCCGGCCGGAGGCCTCCGTGCCCACCTGCTGGGCTCCCCGCATGTCTGCCTACACTGCTTCCTCCATAATACTTAAGTGGCACATTCAAATGATCTTCCATCGTCAACTGTCACCGATGGTTGCAAATAACCTAAAGCTGGAGCCATCACGTAAAACGGCTCTCAGGAGCAAGGCCGGACTTCAGACGGCGGTCGCCCGGGGGCCCAGGTGACGGTCCAACCGCTTGTCTGCAGGCCGCGGCGGCTGCGTGCCAAACTGTCGCACACACGGAGCATCAGCCCGGAAAGCCCGCAGGGAGGAAGAGCGGGGCTCGGTGCAGCTTCCTTGCAGGAGAAAGACTTTCAAGAGACCTCGATACAACTAGTGCTTAAGGAAAACGTTTTTCTTCGTAGAAGGGAAACGCCCAGGGAGCGGGACCGGGCCTGGGCTTTATTGTTGTGTAAAACGACTAGCTGTAACAATCGAAAAGCTTCAGGATGGTCTGAGTAGATTACTCAGCTGTTCTTAAACTCTCGCACAAAGTCTGGGGGAGCGGGCTGTTTTCTGTGAAGAAAGGGTGGTGACGTGTGGACATGTTAAAAAGCAGGCCCGTCTTTTATTCCAGAACAGCCCAGCACATTGCTAACAACCTGACCGGAAAGGAGGTCTGCCACCAAGCTCCGTGGTCTACACAGCACGTGTGACAAAAGGCTGTCAGGAGAACACAGAGCCCCCTGAGGCCCACCGCCCACGCCCCACCGCTGGCCACGGCCCGGGCGCCACGGGGCACGTGGAAGCAAGTCCTTCCGGGAGCTGGGTGCCGGCGACTCTGCTCCTCCAGACCCTGAGCCCGGCCATCCAGGGCTGCTGGGCAGGAAGCACGGGAGGGTCTCCACCACTGCGGTCCTAGGACAGCCCCCTGGGCCAGCGCCCTCCTCCGGGTGTGTGGGCCCAGGACCGAGACGCTGTGGCTCTCCTCCCTGCTGCCACACCCCCCAGGGTCACCTGCCTTCCTCCCCTTGTTGGCCACCTCACCCAGAGGACACACACAGGGCTGCCCGAGGATCAAACCCCCGACAGGCCGTGCTCACATGTGACCCTGAGCTCGCGTGGCTGCAACTAGGCCTTGGGGTTCAGACCTCACGTTTGCCTCCAAATGTCATCCTGTCAGCCCCGTCCACCCCGAGCCTGGAGGGGCACAGGCCACACGTCTCACGCTGCCGTGTCCACAGCGTGCTGCTGACGGCTCACCCAAGTCAAACGGAACAATACCGACCGCCAGTGGCCGGAGGACAGAGCCCTGCATTCTGTCACTGGAGACCTGTCTGCGCTCTGTCGTCCCACCGTGTCCCGTGGGATGCAGTCAAATTTCACAAGCGCCCTCAAGTGCCTGCTTGAGCCCCACTTTGCACCTTCCACTGGAGCCCTCCTCAAACGCCGTGTGGGCCCTGTTGCCCGCTGCGTGATCCCGACGGGGGTCTAGGAGGGCAGACGTGCGCGGTGGGCCAGAGCCCGCTCTGGGAGACGTGCCTAACTGGCTCAAGCTCCCAGGCTGAGACGCGGCGTCTACAGCACAAGAAAGGGGCCTCAACAGGGGCCTTCCTGGGCCAGGCAGAGGCAGCCCCACACGGGGGAACTGGCCGGTACTCCGCACAGCACCACCCTCTCCCTGGGCTTCTGGGCCTCCCGACAGAGGGCTCAGTGGAACGGGAGGGGCGCCCTCCCCACCAGGGCCTGCTTGACTGGAGCCCAGAGCAGAGCCCGACAGCCACAGGGGCCGTCTCTGCCTGGGCCTCCCGCCCCAATCCTCCGGGCCACCCTGCCTTCCAGATCTTCTTGGGAGCGCCCACAAGTGGCCCGGGGATCAGGCACCACTCCGGTCAGGCGGAGTCCTGAGCCGTGCGTCCTCCAGCCGCAGCTCGGGGCCTGGTCACTCAGGCTCCTCTTGAGTCCAGGTGAGCAGGGGGAGGGAGACCCACACGGGGACGGCGGCGTCCCCACGGACGCCCAGGGAATCCGCCCGGCTGGAGTGTGTCCTCGCACACTGCAGACCTCGTGGGTCGCCTCCGGACGTCCCCCACGTGGGCCCTGTGTCTGGTGAGCCTGGGCCCCCGGCCCCTCCCTGCTGTAGGTCGGGCCTGTGATCTAGGGAGCCCCGCCTGTGCTCCCCCAGACACCGGCCGGCTGGCCTCAGACCGCGCGGCGATGCCACAGTGAGCGACGAGAACCGCTGTGCTGTGAGGGACCGGAACCTGCCCCGCGCTCCTCCGAGGCGGTCAGGATACAGGCGTGTGACCCCATGTCCAAAGGCCTGAGGATGGCTTTAAAACTTCAGGAAGAGCACATTTCGGAAAATCAAAGTGGGAACTACAGTTTCGGGTCACACTTCAGACGCTGCAGGCGGCACTTGCCCGCCCGCCCTCCGTCCACCCACGGCTGGGCAGCTCTCCCCACCTGCGGCCCCAGCCGGGCCAGGGCAGCCCGGCCCAGCATTGCCTGGGATACAGTGCTCCCGGGGACACTCTCCCCTGAGCCCCGAGAGGCTCCCTCTCCGGTCCAGACCCCCCGAGCTCAGCTGTGCAAGCCAGCATCCCCCTGACTTTGTCCCGTGGCCTGGGTGGGGACAGAGCCCCAAGTCTGGGTGTTGCCGGGACCCCATGCCCCAGTCTGCAAACCTGCACGGTGACGCTGCCCCCAGAATTTACCTTCGAACCCCTCTGAGAAGGGACTGTCCACGGAGGAAGTGGGGAGATGAGAAAACCCACACACAGAGGCGGGTACCTTTACAACACAGGATCCCAAGCCACCTTTACAGAGAAAAGGGTTCTGGGTAGCCCTTCAGCTCCCACCCTTCCAGCCACGACCAGGGCACTGTGCAAGTGTTCAGCGGTCCTGCTATGGGGTGCGGGGGAGGGGCGGACATGACCCCGGCCTGAGTACAGATGCACCAGAGCCCACGGGTCCAGGGTCCGAGCCCCGAGCCTGTGCACAGAGCAGCCGCGGACGCCCTGCGCCTCCTACCTCGTTGCCCAGCAAAGCAGAAACACATGCTTCCGAGGCGTCGCAGATGGCCGTGAGGTCGTGGCCCCCCTCCAGGGCCAGAACAATCCGGCCGCCAGCCAGGCCCATCAGCTGCTTCGTCAGGTACCCGAAACCTGCAACAGGAAATGGGAGGCGTGAGCGGAGGGCGAGGGCGGGCCGCGGATCAAAGCACCCAGAGACGCATTACATCACGTTACAGAGACCCAGGGGGCTGGCGCTCTGAAACACATAATAGAAGCCAGGTCTGATTGTAATAAATTCATTGAAGAATTTCGGTTTGGGATTCTGTTTGATCTGTTCGAGAGTAGGAATTACGGTTTGGTGCTTTGATTTTGTAATGCCGCAAATCATCTCGTTTGGGGGAAAGGAAAGAGCCCCCGGAGGAGCCCCTCGGTTCTCGGGCGGGGGCCACAGAAGAGGCACCAAGAATGTGCCCCTGAGGCTGTGTCCTGGGAGCCTCGGGGCCAGGGAGAGGCGCAGGCGCAGGGGTCTGGTCGGCCGGTGTGCTGGGCACACGCGTGTGCACGTACAGTCACGGGCACACGCGCCATGGCACGGGCCCCTCCCGGACTCACACACCACGTCTGGCGTGTCTGAATTTCATCAAGAGCCACAGCATGCCCTCTGCACCCACCTCCCCTCCCACCGGGAGAAAACGCATGACGGGTAGTGGTGATTACCGTCCTCACCAGCACGTTCTGATGTTTATTCAAGCTGGCAAAAGCTGTGCCGCCCTCAGCGGCCCCGTCAGAGGCCGCCATCAGCGGACCACGCTGGGCCATGACCTCCCAGAGCCTCGGCTACATCTCTGACGGGAACGGCGATGGGGCCCCGAGGCTGCCCTGAGGGCCACAGGCGCCTCAGCCTTTACTGCACTTTCTACAAAGGGAAGGTCTGGGGCAAGCCTGAGTCGGGCAAGTCCGTGGGTCCGTGGGCACTGTTTTTCCAGCACCACTTGGCTCATTCTGTGTCTCTGCGTCACATTTTGGTACTTTTTGCAGTATTTCTAACTTGTTCATCGTCGTCGCGTTTGTCATGGCGATCGGTGGTCACAACTCCCGCAAAGCCAGCAATAAAATAACTTCCAATTAAGGCACATACGTGGTTTTAGACGTGACGCTATCGCACGCCGAACGGACCACAGGGTAGTGTAAACTAACTTTTATCTGCAACGGGAAACCCAAACGTTCCCCGGCCTTGCTCTGTCGCGGAGGCCTGGGCCTGAACCCACATGGTCTCCAAGGGGAGCCTGTAAGAGGAGAAGCTCAGAACACGGCCAGCAGCAGGCTGGCCACGCACAGAGGGGCGCTGGGCGTGATGCTACACTTGGCCCTCTGCCCAGCCGGCATCAGGGAGGGCTCTGAGGTCTGTGCTGGGGCACGGCCCCCGCGAGGGCCGCCCGGTGCATCCACTGTTTGCCCTGTGTTCTCGGGGACGGCAGGCACGGTCACGTTTTTGGGAAGATGTAACACGGACAGTTTCCTCCTATCGTTGCTAAAGCGGAGGCTTGAAATGCAGAGCACGCCTAACCGTAAAAACAGCAGAATCCAGACTGTGTTCCTGGGCGATCTGCAGACCCGACTTACATCTGGCGGACAGGTTGTAGCCGCCGAGCGGCGTGGGGTGGCCCTCCACGGCGTCGAAGCCTGAAGACACGAGCACCACGTCTGGGGCAAACTCGCTGGCGATGGGCATGACCACGGTTCTGCGAAGGGCAGGAGAAGGCGACACTGGGTTAGCTGAGGGGGTACGGCCGGGAGGAGACTGGCCCATCTCCCACCCAGGTCAGCAGAATAAGGGCTCCGCACGGGGGCTGGGATCGGAGGACTCGCACCCAGAAGGTGATCACGGCTCATTTCACAGCACCCTCAAAGCCTGAACCACTAAGCCCCGACGTGAATGCCCAGGGAAGCCACCGCACAGGGGTTCTGGAGGAGGCTGGTTGATTATGTTGGGGGACCTATAACCCCCGCAGCACCAGCCGTCCAGACTGCTAAAGATCTTCCCCACGCCTCATTTTCTGTTCCCTGTAGGTCCTGTCTCGCTCCTGTAGGTAGGGGTGCCTCTGTTCCCCCCATGCCCCCTTCACGTGGTCCGGATTCAAGACAGGCACCGTCACCGACTGCCCCCGGCACCAGGGACCCACAGCTGTGGGGCTGAGAGGACAGGGAGCCCCCGAGCAGCCCTGGCCCGCAGGGGGCCCCCGCTCGCTCCTGCACGCCAGCCACAAGCGACTGGATGGCCGGCAGGCACATGGTCAGTGGGTTAATCTGACACCTGGGATCTTTACGGGGATACCAGATAAGCACATTTAAGAGAATAGACGGGCTAAAGGTATAAACACCCACCGAGAGGTCAGTGGTTTAGTTCCATTAGGAAAATGAGGAAAACGCCCCATGAACAGTGGAAAAAACACTTCTTAACACAAAACCACCACTTGCACATGGTCTAATGACACCCGCCCGGCTACAATGGAGGACGTGTCCCAACAGGAAGCTATGTGACTTCATCCGTCACTTAAGCTTGCTCTATTCGATTCTGAATCCATCACCAGACTTCCCGGGTCTCCCTCCTCCCTCTGGGCGAGGCGGGCAGTGCTGCGGACACAGGGGCCCGGGTGACTGGAGCAGGCTGGGTGCGCCTCTGCGGAACTCGTCACTGGGTTCCCCCAGGGTGGCGCAGGCCGGACCACATTTGTGCTGCACCAAAGGCCACTTCCTGTCCTGCACCTTCCAAAGGCCCACAGGCCCCACTGCTCATGTCAGACTCTCAACTCAGTCAAACGGGCCTCCGGAGGCCCACCCGGGCCCTTCTCACGCCTGCTCAGTGGGAACACCACGGCCAGAGGGCAGCAGGGCTGGTGGGAGAGCCTCCAGTCTCTCATGCTTTGTGTTATAAAATAAAATTTGCCACGAAATGCGCCACTTAAGTCAGCAAAGTCAACTCCATAAGGCACCAGCTGGGGCCAGCAGAACCAAAAATGAACTGCTTCTCCGTTCGGGAACAACTCTCGGACGTGATCGCATTGAGACGTCCCTCTGACCTCAGGCAGCGGAAGTGACGAAAACCCCAGCGCACGAGGTTAAGACCCGCCAGACGCGCACGGGCCGGTGCCCAAAGACCCAGCGAGTGAGCCCGTCCGAGAGGAGAGCGTCTGTGACGCGGGAGGAGCCTCCGGGCTTCCCTCTGATCACGTCAGGCACCAGCCCTGGATTTGAGCACCTTTCTCTGTGCCCACCGGGACGCTGCAGCACAAGCCCTCAGATTCTGTGAATGCAACGTGCAAACCGCAGTCTTTAAACAAACCGTCCGCTTCAGCACACGCGCCACAGCTGGGGTTCGGCGCCCTGCCACGGAGGCCGGAGGCGAGGAGGTCCCGGTGCTCGTCCCGTGTCCACGTCACAACCAGGGACGCACTCCGCCTTCCCGCCCGCACAGGACGGTCCCCTCTGAGGACCCGGGTCGCCCGCGGTGGCTCTCGGCGGCCCCAGGCCGATCGACACCTGCCTGCCAGCGGCTTTCGCTAAACTTTGTCTTCAGGCAGAACAGTCTCAGCCACGTGCCTGGCTCATCTTGGCGATGAGAACCACGGACGTTTTCTGTAGATGCCGGCTCGTTCACAAAGGGCTCCAGCAGCCGTTTTGAAGCCAGCGCGTGTTGTGGGCCTCGTTCTCTGCTCTGAAGGACTGCTGAGCTATTTTGTTCCTAATCCCCCCGCCACAAAGTTAACAAAAACAGCACGGGAGGAAGTGAATACCAAGAGAGCGCCCGGCGCCCACGCTGGCTGGCTGTGTGGCATCACTGAAAAGCCAGTGAAAAACAAGACGCGAAACAGGCTGACCCCACGCGTCTGTGTGGGTGTGGGGGGCACAGGCCCATCGGCCACGCGCAAGCGTGGGCAGCTGATGTACGAGCACACACTCTCGCTTTACTTCCAGCTTTGGAGCCCCGCAGGTTGTGATCTCAATCACCTGCCAAAGCCACGAAAACCAGACGTGGTGAGTGCCAGGCGGGCGCACGGTGGTTCTCCAGGCCGGTCTTCGGTAGGTAGGCCCTGGGAGAGGTCACTTCCGCTCCATGGGACTCTGCTTCCTGGCCTCTAGGAAAGGAGCTGAATGTGCCCTCCTGACGGTCCCATCGGCCTTCTAGAACCCCCACGTCATCATCCCATCCAGGACCCACCCCCGTGCGAAACATCTATGTTTCACGGTGTTGCAAAGAAAATGGGAATCTGGCCTCAGGTTTCATTTCTAGAATGAAATTTTAACAAGCAACTTGGTCTCTGAAAACAAGATGTCGATATTTATTGCAGGCCTTCTGTCAAATCATCACTTTCAGGTGAGCGCTCCTGTGGGGCCACCGTGGACATTCCTCAGGGCAACGTGAAGGCAGAGGGGTGAGGGGGGAGCTTTCCAGAGCCGCACGCTCCCCACCGTCTGCTTAGACGCGGGAGGAGGCGGGTCTCCCAGAGAAGAGATGGGCACGTGCCCGTGACTGGTGCGCCCCTTACTGCGGGAGAGCAGAGGGCACCCGGTTCTCAGGAGCCACACCGCCGGGTCCCATGGCCCCAGAGCCCCCTCGGCATGGCCTGGCCCTGGGGGCTGGAGCTCAGATGGTCTGAGCAGTGCTGAGTGACAGAGCCTGGCGCTTCGCTGCACGCTCGCCCCGAGCGCAGCCCCACGGGAGGCCCTGGGACGCCGCCCGCTCCCTTCCCGAGGCCTCGGCAGGGCCAAGGCCTGCGCCCTCCCTCAAGCCTGAGGCTCACCGGCCACTCTGCGCCCGCCAGCTGGCGCACACGTCTGTCCGTGTCCGCACCGCGGATCTCCGCAGAGGACGGCTGCGTGCCCAGGATAGGCGCAAGCTGGCGTGGTGGGGTGGCGTGAACTCTGTCTGCTACCACGGGGGACGCTCGCTCCCAGTCCCGGCTGCCTTGTGGGAGCGACAGCCAGGCGGACTTATGGGGCACTCACACCCAGCAGAAACGTTCCTCGTAAGCCACCCCGGGACGTCTGGTCACGCAAGGCATGCAAAGTTGCCACCTGCAAACCCCACAGGGGAGTCCACGTGCAGTAACCGATTCTGCCCTTGGTTCCTGCTTCTGGCAGGAAATGGCCTTTCTGGTTTGTCCCCCAACCAGGGCCCCACGCAAAACCCACCAAACTCGCGGTGGTCACGAGCCTCGGGCCAGTGGCGCTGCCTCCAGGGGCCGTGCCCACCTGTGCCCGAGAGCACCTGGGGAGCTGGGGGGTGGCCTCCATGTGCCCCAGGAGCCTGGTCCACGCCACCGGCCCACACACCTCCCCTGTCACGTGGCACCCGAGGGCTCTCGCGACAACGCCTTCTGCTCTGTCCTCGTCGCGTATTTTGGGTTCGGTCCCGTAGTTAAAGGTCTGCAGCCAGAGTTGACCTGAGCGGGAGCCGCCTGACGGACACACAACAGCTGTTGCTGAATCGCCCGAACCGGTTTCACGGGAGCTCGGTGCCCTGGGTGTCTGATGACACGATTTTAACAGCCATGGCATTTTGATAATTGAAAATTCCTACTGTTGGATGCTGTGCACATCCTTGCCGTGAGGGCTGGCGTGTCTGCTCTGACATCTGGATTTGCCAAAACCTGCACGCTGGGCCTGGCCTCTGGGGCTTCGGGGCGTCAGAGCTCCGTGTTTTGAGAGCCACCGAGATCTGTCATTTTCACCAAGGTCACCCGGAACGCGGCTGGAGTGCCTGCCCATCCAGTATTCGAACACTGCTGGGAGTCAGGGTCAGAGCAACAGTAACAACGGGAACCACGGGCTCTGGCCTGGCTGTCCCTGACGGTCACGTCCATGGCCGCGTCCTGCTCCTTCCACTCCACAGGCACCGCGGCCAGCAGGAGTGAGTGGGTGGGTAGGGCAAAGCTGGGCACTGAGGCCGGGCCCTCACCCGCCCCCGTCTCCTCTACACCCCCAGCTCTACAACCCCACCCACTTCCAGGCTCTCTGTGCTCTCTTAACCCAGACTCTGCCCTCAGGAGGTAGGGATGTCCCTCTACTCCCCCTGCTGCCTTCTCAGAGGGCGGGGAGGTCACCTTGCTCTGAGCCCTGCCCCTCCCTGCTGCTCCTGTCTGGCTGTCATTTGCAAAGTGGGGCACCCAGCTCTGCCGGCTTCTCTACACCCCTCACCATCCAGGGTCTTGCCAACACGGTACCCGTCCCTCGCTGCCCACGGCCCCACTGCCACCGTCGTCTCCAGTTGTGCTCGGGCTCCGCAAGGCTGTCGGGCCCTGACGTGCTCCCAGCTCTGTCCTGACACGCTCCCCGAGGCTGCCCTGCTCCGACGTGCTCCCCATGGCTGGTCCACCCCGACGGACAGGCTCCCAGCTCTATGTCCCATCCCGATGTGCTCCCAGCTCTGTCCTGCTCCTTTCCTGGGGCCTGTCCCCGGGCCTGCACTCTTGGCCGCCTCCACCCATCTCAGCGCTCCCCTGCAACTCCCCAGCACGGGGCACCCCTGGGCACGAGCAGCAGAGGCGGTGGGGCTGCTGAGGACGCCACACAGACCCACAGCCGGCCTGAGGAGCAGGTCTCTGCCGGGCCGCGCATGACAGTTCCGTCCCCTCAGGCACCGCGGCCCAGGCCTCTCCCAGCTGCCCCCTCTTCCTGCCGCAAAGCCAACCTCGGTCTCTGGCTCAGTACCCTTGTGCTCTCTCCCGGGTTCCCGCCTCGCTCTGGGCAGGACTCTGGCTTCACCCCGGCACCCGGCTCCGAGCCACAAGTATGAGCTGACCGCTCTGCGGCCGAGTCCTCGTCGGGGCTCCCGCAGCACAGCCGTGGAACACACAGACCCGCCGTGTTGGTCACCTGGTCAGAGCCCTTGACACGCTTGACCAATGGGGCCATGGTCCCGGCCCCCCAGAGGCGGCCCCCGACACAGGCAGGTCTGTGTTGGGAGGTGTGCTCCCGCAGGGATGCCCCTGTGAGCAGGTGCCCAAGTACGGCTGTCACTGCACCTGCCTGCGAGCCCCACAGCCTAGGGGCCCTGCTGTCCCGGTTATGCTCCGCCCTTGAGGGCAGGCACCAGGGCTGGCTCAACGTGACCTGCCACGTTCCGCTTCTAAGTCACCACGGAACGTCCTCCGGGAAAGTTTCCACACGGGAAGGGGTGTGGACGCCCTCCCAGGGCCATCACTGCCTCTAGCAAACGAGGTCCGGGGGTTTGGATCCAACGTCTTCACAACAATGAGGCCTGGACTCTTAGAGCCTCTGTGGACAGACCCACGCGGTGGGTGCCTCCGAGCTGTGCTCGCCCCCATGGCTGACACGGGAAGTGCCAAGCACGTTTCACAGCAATAAATAAAAATTAAAAACGATTTTGTAAAGAATTTTTCGTTAGGAAGAAAAAGAAACAAACTCCCACAAAACAGCTTATGAAGTAACATAACCTCCGAGAGCCTCCGTCTTTGGGTCACGCTTGAAAGGTTGGCGAAAAGGACGTGAATCTATCCAGTGGCTCAATTTAAAGGCAAGTCGCGACTCGTTAAAAGATTAAAGTTACCACTTCAAAATATCCAGTTTCACTGACATCTCTGATACGCTTTATAAAAGCACATTTAAAGCAAAGCTGTGATCTACAAGCACACGTAATCCCAGTTTCGCTTCCCGAGCGCTGACACCGGATGGCAGGTAGGGGAGGGGAAGGAGAGCGCATCCTCTCCATGCACGGGGCCTTCGCCCCTGCTTCTGCACTTCAAAGCCCGTCTGGCACGGGCTGGTTTGAATTAGGGTTGCCTTTTGTCCTCAAGTCTGAGCCCCAGGAGAAAGTGCCGCCACCTCTGGATTTCATTAGGGGCAATTTTCTTATCTCTTCATCCCAGGCTTGATCTCCTGAAACGCAATGTGGCAGGCCGTGGGTCTGAGTAACAAGGTGCTGCCTCTAAGGCCCGCATTGTCCCCAGGGGCCCCCCGAAAGGGGGAGACGCACAGAAGAAAGGGGAAGACGGATCCTGACCCTTCTTCCCCTAGCCGATCGATGCCCAGGGAACCATAAATTGTAAACTTCAAAGTGCTACTTTCCATTGAAATCAATAAAAAAAAAAAAAAAAAAAAAAAAAAAACCCAAAAAACCCTGAAACAATTTTCGTTTTCAAAGAGGCTATTTAAGCTTTAAAAAGTTCATTTGATAAGGTATCATCATGTACGCGCTTGGCAGAAGATTAAAACACAATGTCAACAGCAACTCGGAGAGAAAGGTTCATCTTAAAGGCTGGCCCCAGGCGGGCGGCTGGGGGAGGGGGGTCGCCCGCGGCCGGAGGGCCACCTCCCGGTGCTGGGCGTCCCCGTCGCGGGACCAGAGCACCCAGAGCACCCAGTGAGGCTGAAGCCCGACCGAAAGCAGGGGTGACGTGAAGTACAGAGCTGCCCCCACTGCTGTGGCCAGCCCAGCCGAGCACAGCGCCGCCCTCTGCCCGCGGCGTGCCCTGGGGTCCCCAGCCAACCAACGGTCCTCACGGCAGGTGCCCGGACACTTTACTTTCCAAGCGGCCTTCCGAGAGGGCTGGTTCTCGGGCCGAGGGGTGACAAGGTGGCACAGGCGTTCCGCGGACGGCAGCGAGGCCCCCGCTGCGGGTGCTGCACGGGCTCGGATTTCGTGCCGTGGATTCTTAACCAGGCACACGGGCAAACTGCCAGATCCCGTACCCGCCGGGGGAGTCCCTCTCCCTTAAATTAGGCACGCGATTGTCAAAATTCCATTATATCTGATGAGGGGTAGGAAGACACATCAAAATTAAGTCAATGAGATTAAAGGAAAAAGTGACTCGGGGAAATCAGGGCAGAGAAACCAGCTGGGGAGGTGACGGACGCGACTGTAAAAACCAACTTCGTTGCTGGAGAAGCTAACCTGCTGCCTCGACTTAACCAAATTTGAGCCGTTACTTCCGTGAACCACGAGCAGCTGGGAAGGAGCTTCTATCCACACAGCGATGCATCGTGCCAGAGCCAACAACCGTTCCGAGTCTGGGGAGCAGAACTGTGTTCGGAGACGAGCGCGAGGGGTCCCGTGGCCCCCGCGGGGCCCCCCGGAGCACACGGCGGATGCTACGGCAGAACGTGTAGAGACGTGTCCTCCTACAGAGCCACCCCCGCCAGAGACACACATGCACACGCTCTCGCACCTGCACACGTGCCTACACGCTCACAGCCCTGTGCACGTGGATACATGCACACGCATGTCCACAGAGACACAGGCATCATGCGTACACACGTGTGCTTTAGATTTATGGCAGAAGGAGAGCAGGGAATTCGAGAAACAGGCAGGGAGGAAACTTCACGGGGCTCCAATTCCCAGCGCACCGACAGTGTTTTCTAACGACGACCGAGAGACCTAGCACGCTGAGCAGCACCCTTCTCCTCACGGGGCCCTGGGGCCCCAGAGCCCCACATTCTGGGGAGAAGGGAGAGGCCGCCACTTAAAACAAGCGGCAGAAAGCCCACGTTGCTGAGGGTCTGTGTTTGGTCGCAGGAACTACTTCAACCTGGCCCAGATCAAAGGAGAAATCACCACTTCATGACAAAAGCAAACACTCTGTTTAAAGGAACCGTCGCACAGCTCTGTCCTAGCGGGGCAGACGGCGGCCACGCACCTCCCCAGAACCGCAGCAGGGAAGGCGGGACACGGATTCCTGCCTCTCATTGTCCCACAAGGACTTCACTGGAAGGACAGCTGGGAGATCATGAAATCTTTCCGAAGCAAGCATCCACCTTTCTGAGCCCCGCACTGAAGTCCTCACCCGGGCCTCAGTCACTTCCTTAGTGTCAAAACCCAGAAGGGTTCCCGTGTCTCCCTTAAAGCCCAAGACGGACCCGCTGCCGAACAGAGGTGACAAGACAGTCTCAGACTCCAGCTGAGGCTCTGAGAACCAACTAAGAGAAAAGGCTGCTACAGAAATGCCCCCCTGTGCGGGGCCCCTAGGGATGCCGGGGGAGGGGCCTACCAGAGAGGGGCCTCGGGGTGTGTGTGTGTGTGTGTGTGTGTGTGTGTGTGTGTAGAAAGAGGAAGGTCCAAGGACATCAGTAAAACCGAGCAAGAGCTGGGGACACTGGTGTGGAACCTCCAATTGTCTGACAAGTGCCCCGTGGGACAAGAAGGGACACTTACCTGAAGGCCGCCAAATACTCCGCGTCTCCCATGGGGGGATCGAGGCCGCCAGTGAAAGCCATGTTGACGTTGAAGCCCACACCTGGGCCTGTGCCCACCTGAGTGGGAGAGAGAAGCTCGTGTCACAGGCCCTCAACTGGAGGGCACCTGGCCCCAGCGTCACAGGCCTGGGGCTCTTGGCTCAGTGGCCCGGCAGCAAAGCCTGAGTCCTGTGCTCCCCAGCATGTGCTCCCAGGGCCCCTGACACGAGGACCCAACAACGGGTAGAGGGCTCTCGGCCACCTGTGCCTGGAGGGGTGTGGGGCCGCCCTTCTCCCTTGGCCACGGCCCAGCAGTGTCTGAAGGCCTGTGGCTCTGCGGCATAGACACCAACGGAGGCACAGAAATGCGAGCACAGGAGGCTATCCTTCCCTACCTCCTTCCAGGAAATAAGGCCCGGAGTCCGATTAAACTTCTCCCCCGGGTGTCAGGGCCTCTGTGTTCAGGGCGAGGGCAGGCTCTGCTGGGGGCTCGGGCGCCGTGAAGGAGCCCGTGAGCCGCCAATCCCCCCTCCCGTGTGGCCCTGGACAGCTGAGGGACAGCACAGTGCCCTGCCCAACGGACGGACGAGAGGAATGGGCAGGAAGAAGGGTGCCCGGGCTCTCTCACATCTGCCTACGTTGGAGCCAGACGTGATGGCCAGCCTGTCACTGGAACCGCAGGCCAGATAAAGCCCCCGTGGGCATGTGATGGAATTCGACCCACGCCTGCCTGCCGTCGCTGGGATGAACGCGAGCAGGGAGGCCTAGCTTGTGCGTGTGCAGGGGCTGCGCGCACTTGCCCTCTCACCTGCAGAGCGGCCCGGCACACGAGCGGGTGGGTGGCCCCTGCTCACCTCGTCTGGCGCCCCACTGCCCGGGAAGAAGTTGCCATCGTCATAGCGGTGAAGGGAGATATAGAGGACGTTGGGATCGTTGTAGAAGGCCTGCTGGGTTCCATTTCCGTGGTGCACGTCCTGGGAGAGCAGGGAGCAGAGGACCCAGCGCTAGCGGGACGCCTCTGGGCTCCCAGCGTGGCCGGGCGCCGGCGCAGGGCCCTGAGGGAGCGGGGCCCAGGGACAGAAAGTAGAGCCCCAGGCTGTGTCCTCGTCTGCCTCCCTCGCCCTCGGCACCGTGCCACGGTGCAGCTTCCGGCAAGGGGGAAGAGGCCGGTGCTTCAGCCCCACCCAGAGGCCACGGTTTCCCAGACAAAACCGTCCGGCCACTGCCACGTCTGTGAGAAGGGAGCGGACTGCAGCCGTTCCCCTTCGAGCACGTGTGAGGTGTCAGCTCTGTGCCGGATACTGGGGTACAGCAGGAGGCCGTCCCGTGGGGCCGGGAGGGACAGGTGCACACAGCACGGGGGTCCCGGGCCCCAGGCTCGAACAACAAACTGCTTTTTTTTTTTTTTTTTAATTTTTATTTATATTAAAAAAATTTTTTTTAACTTTCTTTCTTTCTTTTGAGAAAGAGACAGCATGAAGGGGGAGGGGCAGAGGGAGGGAGAGAGGGAGAATCCCAAGTAGGCTCTGTGCTGTCAGTACAGAGCCCGGTGTGGGGCTCAAACCCACGAAACCACGAGGTCATGACTTCAGCCGAAACTAAGAGCCGGATGCTTAACTGACTGAGCCACCCAGGCCCAAACCGCTTCTGATCACGATGCCTGCGTGTTAAAAGCACAAAAGTGGGGCAGGGCAGCCAGGCTTCCTACCAGGCCTGAGGCCATGCACGGCCCGGGTCAGGACTGGAGAGGGCCACCAGGATGGGCAGCCGGCTTCACACATGTGAGAAGCTGTGGGCAAGTCAGTGATTTTAAAGCCTGGGAACTGCTTGGTATCTTTGTTATTTATAACAGTTGTCTGTGAGGAGGGCTTGGGTGGCTCGGTCGCTTGAGCGTCTGACTTCGGCTCAGGTCATGATCTCACTGCTCGTGGGTTCGAGCCCCGCGTCGGGCTCTGTGCTGACGGCTCGGAGCCCGGAGCCCGCTTCGGATTCTGTCTCCCCCCCCCCCCCCCCGTCTGCCCCTCCCCTGCTCATACGCTGTCTCTGTCTGTCTCTCAAAAATAAACATTAAAAAAAGTATATTAAAAAAAAACGTAAAAGCTATCTGTGCTCACCAGAAGAGATGTGGCAGGACAGACACCTGATCCCATCAACCAGAAAGCCACCACAGCTGAGCAGACGTGCACCAAGGCTGCGGGGACGGGAACCTTCCGCACCTGACGCAGCCCTGCACGCGCGTGTGCCCTTTCCCGTGGGGGCGCACACCCGGGGTCAGCAGCCCTACAACCATAGACTTCCCCCCACGTCCTGGCCACGCCTGCGTCGTGGACCGAGGGGATGTTAGCCACGTGGTCACGCACCGCTCCACACTTAACACCTCGGCAGCACCCCTAACTAATCCTCTGGGAGGAGTGGAGGCCGGGCTCATGGGGACACGGGGACGAGGACCCGAGCACGCTAAGCACGGCCTCTGCCATCTACGCGCCCCTGGCCAGTGCCCGGCCCCTGAGAGCCTGCCGGTTTCTGCCGGGCTGGGGTTTGGTGTTTCTTTTCCCAAACTGGGAAGGAGTCCGCGGCACAAAGGATCATCCCCCCTGGGTATCTATCTGCTTTTCTTCTCCCTTAAAAATTTTATAAAATCAATCATAAATGCCAAACAGAATGAAGGAGAATTAAAAAGTAAGCACCGTCCACGACCATCCCCGGGACAAGCATTCGCGTAACTGCTTTTGGAGCTCAGCCGCGACCCACAGCTCTTACACCGCAGTTTACCCCCCAGGCAGTGGGGCCGGGGGGAGGCGGCAGGCCCGGCAGGAAAACAGGGCAGCGGCTACACGGGCGTCATCACCCAGTTCCCGTCAGGAGGGTCTGACACGCACATGCCGCATCTGGCCGTGGGAGGGCCTGGCCCAGGCCCTGCGGGGGACGCGTGAGGTCGAGGCCAGCACCGCCCCCCTGAACCCTCCTCTCCACGAGTTCTTCCGGCTGCTGCCCTCAGTCACGGGCACAGCTCTAGACATTTCAGGAACCGGCTACTGGCAGGACGGGCAGAGGGCACCTGTAAAACGGACTCGGAGCAAGTCTGAGCTTTTACTTCCTGCGTCTCTGAGGTAGCTTCCAGGAAGTTAAGGTCCCCAAATGCAAGGTCAAGGAGGCAGAAACGCACACAGGATGCTGTCTGCTCGGGGAAGCAGGGGGGCGCACGGCCCCCAGCCCCTCTCGGGGAAGGGGTCCCACTTACCCAGTCCACGATGAGGGTCTTGCTCACGTCCAGCCGTTGCTGGAGAAGCTTGGCTGCGATGGCTACGGAATTAAAGTAGCAGAACCCCCTGCAGATGAGAGGAGACACGGAGAGGAAACACGGGTTCTCATCCGCCTTTACGCAAGACGCGACAGAACCATCTAGAGCCCTGTGAGATTTGAAGAGGGTCTGGTGAACTCACGGCTCTGTTAACTGACGCCGCGGAGGCACAGACGGACCCCCACGGGTCTCCCGCACGCGGACCGAGGTGCCCCGGGGTGGGGCACCCCTCCCTCGATGTACCAACACCCCGCCTCCTCGCCCCAGAACCTCGCAGAACGCGCACGGGCCGGCCTCTGCAGGGGCCCTACGGCGCACAGGCCCAGAGGTCACAAAGGTTACTTGCTTACTGCACATCTGTCACGTTCTCAGACATGCGACGACGACACAAGAATCGATCCCGTGACTGACTGACCCTGAGAGTCTTCAGGAGGGTGAGAAAGCAAACCAATTCAAGTAAAACTGAAACTCTCCACATCTGCCCCCTGACCTAAATCTCCACAAAGGTGGGGAAACCCAGGGGGGTCCGTTTCTGGAATCCGGGCCAGCCACCTGTAAGCCCTCCCCTGGCGGGCTCCTCCGGGCCCGGGACCCGACCCACGGCTCGTGCGAACACCCGCGGGAGCCCACCCAGCACGCTGCTGCCCGTTTCCTTCCAGCCCACGCGGCTCGTACACTTCAGGACACCCAACCACTTAGACCCCAATCACAACAGGGCCTCCAGGGGAAGGCGGATCTTGCTCCCAAATGCCACGGAGCGTTCTGGGTCATGGCGTCCCAGGCCACAGGGCTGCTCAGGTGAGGCCGCGCTCCCTGCACTGCGGGAAGGAGATTCCCTCTCAGACCGCGGTCTGATGCCCTCGCTTCCAGATTTAGAGGACACGGGGCTCCCCCTCGCCTGTCTGCCAGACCCCAGGCTCCTTCACGAGCGTGGGTTTGGCCTGCGGCTCCTCAGCCTGTTCTAGCTGCTCCTGAAGACAGGGTCTGCCTCCGCCTCCCCGCGCTTCCCGGCTTCCCAGCCGTGCTCCGTCTGCACGGTCCCCGCTGTGCTGTCTGACCCACCCTGCTCTTTGGGGCACAGCCCGGACGTCCCCTCTCTTACCTCCACTGACACCAGCGGCGTCAGGGCCCTTCCCTCCCACATCCCACGAGATGGCATCACGGCGAACCCACCCCCAGGCACCAAGGCACTCGGTACACGACTGGTGAGGCCCAGGGTCCGGTCCCCGTGACTCTGCCCCAGGTGGGTCCGTCCCTACCTGCCACCGACTCTCCCAGGTAAACCTGGGGCAATCTGCGTGCCACGCCCGCTACCTCGGCCAGCGCCTCAGATGTGTGCATGGTCAGAGGCACCCCTAGCCCCAAACGGAGTCCAGACCTAGCTGGCCCTTGTGGTCACGACCTTGAAACGTCAGTCTCATTGGTATCAAACCACAAGCAGGTCAGCTAAAAGGCCACACGTGAGATGACCTGAGGGGTCTGGATGGAATGTTCTAGAACAATGAAGCACCACATGAACTCATTCTGGTGCAGGTTAAGTCCACAGCCAATTTTGTACAAGACTGAAGATGTCTAGAGATGTCTGCAGGTTCCTCTCCTTGCCCCCTCCGGTTCAGGCCACCACCTCGCCACAGCTGGTGGGTGAAGGTCACCTGTACGGCTCTGGAGCTGTGCCAGCTGGGGCCCCATTTTCACTCCAGTGCAGCCCAGCCCTCCCATGAGAGGAACCGGAAACCGGCAGCCCCTGCCCGGAACGGCCGCGCGCCTACTTACATGGGCGTGCTCTCCTCCGCGTGGTGTCCTGGGGGGCGGACCACGGCAAAGCCGTTCTGCACACGGCACCAGACAGGTGGGGACAAACAGGGAGGAAAGACGGGTTTCACGTTAGTGAGAAGATGAGCCCAGACCACACACGAGGACACAGAGTCACAGCACAGCTGGGCACACAGCCGTGGGACAGGATACGGGGCAGACGTCTGGTCCTGCTCTTAAGGAGGTCTACTGGTTGTCATGGTTACTAGGATGAAAGGTGACTTCACCCCTGACCTTTGACCTTCAACGGCTCCCCCACGAGAAGGCCTGGAGTTGCTCAGCTCTGGGATCTGGGTAGGAGTGGGCAGGGCACCCTGGGTCCCCCTCTGTTCGTGACCAGTATCCCCAAGAAGCCACCTGATGGGAACCCTGGGTGCAGACAGAGCGCAAGGGGCTCCTGCCCCAGTTTGGGCTGAACGTGAAGGATGCAGATCCAGGGGGCACGGGTGCTGCAGAAAATAAGTGACCCATTTACTCAGCGGAAACAGCTCAGAGGCTACAGGGTGCCCCCCTCCCCCGGGACCCGTAAGTCACGTGTGCTTTACAGAACCATAATACACTGCTCAGCAGCCACGGAAAATGACGTGCACGGGCACCTCTTGTATGGCCCGCGGGGAGCTGTGTGGTCAGGCTGGGAACAGCCCCCGGGGCGAACTGACCCCCGGGGCGGACTGACCATTGGTGACGGGGCCTGCTGCAGGACCAGCTCGGGGAGGGACGCGCTCACAAGGGAGCCCCCGCTTTGCGCACTCTCAACACTGTCCTACGCGCGGGCCCCGCACCCGGTTCCGAGCACAGGCGGCACCCCCTTGGGGGTCTCCATGCCCCCATCCTAAGACTCCATCACCACGGTGCCAGGGCAAGGGAGGCAGGCGGCTGGTGCCACGGGAGCCGGCAATGCCAGGGACGTATAGGCCCTCCGCCCGTTTTCTCCAGCAGGCTCGAGGGGACAGCAGCTCTGCCCGAGGACGTGTGATGCCGGGATCAAACGTATTGACTTCGTGAAAGTTCTCCCGTTGAGAGAACAAAAGGGAAGGACGGGGAAGTGGGTGCAGGGTGAGACCGTAGCGTCATCTGAGAAGCCCACGGCCAGCTCCTGCCTGCGCTCAGATGACCTTCCCGAGGAGATGGGCGCCCAGAGTAACGGCTTCGAAAATCAGTGATGTTTTAAATACTATGCAACAAACTGTGTCGACATTCTGGAAGGTGTCTGCCTAACTCATAAGCCAGGACTTCCAAGTGAGCCGCACTGGGTCGGGTGCCCTGTCCAACCTGCAACAGACCAGTGGGTTCCATGCCAAGGAGAGGATCCCACTGCTACCGATCAGGTTCTGCACTGCAACTCATCTTCCAGAAACTTCCACGTACGGAACCGCAGTGGAGCATCAAGGAGGAATCTGCACCGCTGTCTGAGAAAGCTATGCGAACACTGTCCCCTCTCGCACGCCCACGTCTTGTGGGGCCACAGTCTCGTGCAGGAGCAGGTCTGAGACCACCCGATCCACTAAGACAGGCGTTGCTGCTATTTTCAAGTTAATAAGCAGTTTTGAAAATCCCGCTTGAATCTCTCGTATGGTCGGGGTGATGACACAGCTCATACACAAAAGCTCTCAGAGTTCTTCAAAGGTGTCGGGAGTGTAAGGTGCTCCCGAGACCGAAGCTTCGAGAGCTGCTGTGCCACCACGCACTTTCACCCAGGCCGGAGGTGCTCCCGTCGATGAGTGGGGACCCACGGGACAGGGCCCACCCTCGCCCCTGGACAGGAGCCACCCTCCCCCAGTCACCGCCTCCTTGTCTAGAGGGACCCACCGGGGGCCGTCCTCCCACCCCCACCCTGGAAAGCCTCTGGCAGCCTTCCTCCAGGCCGGTTTCTGCAGGGTCCCCACTGACCTTCAGCTCCCCCGTGGCCACCTTGAAGACCAGCTCCACCACGCAGCCCACGGCCAGGCGGGCCGCGCCCGACGAGTGCACCTCGTTCCATATGGTGTCGCTGTCCACCTGTGGAGACAAGGGCCCTGCGGTGAGGCGTGTCTCGGCCTGTCACTCCCGCCCCCCGACTCTTGTGGGGGCCGTGCAGCTGGGGGCTTGTGGAGTCTGGGGGCTCTCCCTGCAAAATCCCAGTACGGGCTGCTCGCTTCTCTTTTACCGATTATAGGACACACCCAGCTCACATTCGGCCTCACCTTTTTTTTTTTTTTTAAGATACGGCAGAAAATACCGAACGGGAAAAGAACCATAAACGCAGCACGAATGGGACGTGCGCACCTCTACCCCTACCCGAGGTGCCCCTGCTTTCCTCCAGTGCCCCGATGTACACGAGGCTCAGAGCAGGGGCGTCTCGCGCACCGAGCTCTGTTCCTGTTTGGTTTCATGGCAGGTGAGCAATGCTAACAGCAAAACGAAACCTAAGAAAAACCGGAACGAGAGGTCCCTCCAGAGTCTGACTTCACTTTGTGCTGAAGAGAATGAGCCACTCCGCGTGTCTGATGGGAGCGCGGGGTGGGAAGGGAGGAGCCAGCCCGCGAGGGACCTCCTGGAGGGCCGCGCACCCCGCACGGGAAAACGTGGTCAGGTAATTCCCGTCTGCGTCCTGGCTTGTTTGTTTGCGGAGACACACGTCCAACGTGTCTGGCTGATGTGGGCATTGAAGACGACCAAGAAATTGGAGCGGCCAGTTCCGGAAGTCACCTTGTGGGGGCCTGGGCGGGATCGGAGCCCCAAGATGGAGCACACAGCCCCCCTCCCCACCCCGGGTGCCAGGCCAAGGGCCCCCGAGCCGCCATCTGCGGCGGGGCGACCGGAGCCTCGGCCGCGCACACGTAGGGCTCATGTGCCCTTCCTGGGGCACACCCCGCCCGGTGAAGGTTCGGAGGAGCAGTGCAGTCACAAGCCCGTTACCTGCAGCATGGTGCCTGCGAAGTCCATTTGAGAGCCCCCCCCCCCCAACAAATCAGCCCCTCCGAGCGCTGAACGCTCTGGGACTCCAGAGACCGAGGCCACCCACACAGCGACACGCAGAGGTGACACAGCCCCGTCGGGGCCTGCCCAGGTCCGTCCGGGCGCAGCTGGGCTCCTGCCCGCCTGGCCAAGACACCGACCGTTATGCAGGGGTTGCATTTCCCGCAATGAACTCGTGAAGCTTCGTCTTCAAAGCGAGATGACTGAAAATACATTTATGAGGGGTTCAAGCCATTTCCGGAGGACGGCTATTCTCTGCAGTGAGCAAACCTCTGTGTTCTTTAAACAGTTTCCAAATGTCAAAAGAATGCTCTGCACTTTGCCGACTCTGCACGGCATTAATATTCGACTTTCAAAGAGCGGCTTCTGTTGTAAACGATACCGTCCCGCTAGTCACGGAAGCAGCTTTTCAAACAGAGCTGGCCCGGGCCAACCTACGTCAGCTGCAGAACCGATTCATTACAGTCGACGGGGATGGTCCTCGGGCGAGTGGCAGGGGCATCCCACCACTGCTGCTGAGCCTCCCGGGAGGGAGGACGAGGGTGTCCAGGGCAGGCTGGCGCGCATGCTGCCCCCGAGGACCAAAGGCAGTTTACGCAAAACCACTCAGGTTACTTCTCCTCAAAACGTGAGGATTTTGGGTTCTGAGCCCAGGGAACCAGCCCGGTACGTGCTCTGACGGGTCTGCGTGTGTGACCCCAGGGCGGAAGCCCTGGGATGTCTTGTCCAGAGGGAAGGACGGAGTCCCAGGTTGCCACTGCTGGGCCAGCCTGGGATGGCTGCCTTCCGGCCCTGAGTTCCAGGGGCAAGAGCCCCAGGGAGGGCGGGGCAGGAGGGCCATTGCCACTGCAGGAGCTCGAACGAGGAACCAAAGTGCAAATGGGCTGCTACGTTTCTTCCAGCAGAGGAAAACTTGGAGGACACTTCCTGCAGAGATTCAGAAGGGATGTACCGGAGGCGGCCGGTGCCGGGCACACCACGGCCCTTGGGGAGCCACGTTGCTCGGGGCGCCCGGGCCAGCGAGGGGGCCACAGGGCCAGCAGGGAGGGGGATTCACCCACACCACGTCCCCTTAAGGGGGAGATGGAAAAGATCAGGAGGTGAGCAAAGCAGCGGATCCTTTCATTTGGTTTGAAAGAAGCTTCCACTGACTTCAAACTCTCTTTTCAGCACAGTTAAGGGAAAAGGGGTCTGCAAACAACTTGAAAACACCATCCCACACCCTAAATGTTAATTCAGAATAACTTTCAGGAGAAGCGGAGAGGCCCCTCCTCACCTGCGTCAGCACCCAGAACACGCACACTCCCACCCACACTTAGGCTCCCGGGGTCTGCTTGGCTCGCCCGAGACCCCACCAGTGACGCCGAGCCCACACACGCAAAGTGCTTCTCCACCCTCCTGGGAGCGGGGATTATGGAGAGGCCTCGAAAGACAGCCATCCCCGAAAGACCCTACGGTTCACGCCTTCTACCAGTGAGTCCCCAGGCTTCCTCTACCCAGTTCAGCGCTCTCATGCCCGGATGTGAAGGTGGGTGCTGCTTGGTCTGCAGGGGCTCAGATCTGGATGCACCCTCGGCGGGGGCTGCCTGGCTCCAGGCCCCAGGCCCGACTTGAGCTCTCTCTCCCTTTTGCAAATTACAAATCCTGCCTCGCACAGCGCGCTGGCTGCAGGGCAGCCGAATCCAAGCCTTTTCAAGTCTGGCCAAAAATTTGCCCCGAATTAAGAGATTGCAGCCTACTTACAATATAAAATAAAATAACTCTAGGGGCCTTGGTGGTGGTATGAGTAAATGCCGTTTATTCTCTTTCTGACGGGATAATTTTCAAAGCAGCGAGTTTTGTAAAGACTCAGGAAGAAAACAATTTTGTTTCATTTCCATAACAGAATCCAGACCTGGGGCTTCACCCTGCGATCTGTAATTAGGCTCGCACTCTGCCCCTGCGCGGCCTCCGCCGAAGCGGCTTTGTTGTCCGCGGTGTCCTGCCGGCCCCTTCCCTCCGCGGCCGACTGCGCTATTTCACGGGCTACGCGACCTCGATGGCCAGCAGCCCCGGGCTCCGCTCTCGCCCCCCCCCACCCCTCTGTCATCCAGGGCGACGGGAGCCAGGGGCTGGGATGGGGGCCTCTCCCCGTTAACAAGAAGTGCTGGCCGTGGACACCTGACCTTCACCGCGCCGCGGGCAGGGTGGACGTCCAGACCAGAAATCGTGAGGGACGCTGGCTCTCCTGAGCAGGCCGGCCTGAGGGCGTTATCGCTCACAGAAAAGCAGCAGCCCCCCCCCCCCCACCTCCCCAACACAACGGCCTTCAGAGGTTCCCCGGGGCCCCCGGCTGGCGGTCGGATACAGCGATCGCACACACCCCTGATCCACCGCAACCTGAGCCGAGACAGGCTGTTCCTCCGCAGGCTGGGAGGCGAGACCGACCTGTTCCCCACGGCGCGCCTGCGTGCCAGACGGCCTTCCCGGAGGAAGGTGCCCGACTCCAGCCTACAAATGCTCCCAGGCCCCGGGCCTTTGAAGCCACACGGGTGGGGGGGGTGGGGGGGGGGAGGGCCCGGGGGGGGGGGGGGGCGGCCCCACCCGCCAGACCCTGTTTACGGAAAACACCTGGCAGCAATTATCCACTCTGCGGAAAACAGGGCAGCGGTTTCTGCGGCCACTGGGGCCCGAGAGCAAGCAGGACATTATTTACACATTAAAGAAGTACTTACCCCGACACCACCGCAGGGCAGCCTGACAAACACGGAGGTTAGCGAGCCTGCGGGGAGAAGGACAGTCAAGGTCAGGAGGGCAAGGTCACAGGCGCCCCGCCTACAGGGAGCGTGGCGCGGGCTCCGGGAACGGGGAGCCCAGGGGCGCTGGCACTTGCCGAAGGCGCACAACACAGCCACACTCCGAGGGGCCCGCTGGCGTCACAGGTACCTCGGCATCACCGTGTGGCTGCTGGGGGACAGTCCCCGTGGACAGACCTCCCCCTCCCCGAGGCAACGGTCACCCCTCTGGGGGTCGCACCGAGAGGCGGGCTCTCCTTCCAGCCTGAGCCGGCGCACCGTGCACAGGACGAGCCGAAAGGCGGTGTCCCAAGAACTTCTCGCTGTTTAGCAACCTGACCCGGACCCCCCGCCGGCCCTCATCCTCCCAGGTTCGTGGCTCCGGCAGCACCACCTGCCCCCCGGCTACAAACAAGGGACAGAGAAGGGCCCGGAATCACGTGGAGCATCCCGGGGGGATGTGAATACGACACCCCCTCCCCACTTATAAACACGGACACAGCTAGGAAACCACGCGGAGCGGAGCTGGCCACCCGGAAGGCCCTCCCCGGCCAGTGGCACCGGGGCAAGTCCCCTCTCCCACGGGGCTCGGGCCTGAGCCCTGGTGACAAAGACGAGGACTGTCTTCCTCAGGGTGATCCAGCGCTGGCTGGCAACCAGCCTACGACTCCCCTGTCACAAAGGACAGAGAGCACCTGCCCCCCTAGGGCTCCATGTGGCCGCGTGCCTGGGGAGGTGGCCCAGGAGACCTGCTCTGGGGTGCCCGCTGCTCCCGTATGCGCCCTGCCCCGGTGGCCCCTAGGCCTCCCCTGGCGGGTTCCTTAGGCCAGCTTCGGACTCCTCTTTTTTTTTGAGAGAGGGAGGGAGAGGGGTAGAGAGAGAGAGAGAGAGTGAGAGAGAGATTGAGAGAGGAAGAGAGGAGAGGGCGAGAGAGAATTTCAAGCAGACTCCGTGCCCAGCACAGAGCCCGACATGCGGCTCACACTTAGGAACCGTGACTTCCTGACCCGAGCAGAAACCCTGAGTCGGACGCTTAACTGGGCCGACCAGGCACCCCTGGCCTCCTGTTTGGACGTGGCAGGGCTGCGCCCACTGCGGGGAGCCCCTCCCCCCTTCTGCCTGCCCCAGAACACTGGCTCCTGCTCTAGATGCCCGTGAGCCATACCACTGGGACCACAGGCCCGGGCCGGACTCTGGCCCCGTCCGTGCCCACCTCATCCCGACTCCCGGCGTGGACCACACTAGGCACCGAGCCACCGGGGGCCACGTCACGGGCCAGCCCCGGCCTGCACCCTCCTGCTGCTCACGTGACACACGACGCTCACATTCACCCGGGGCCACGGCGCACCCTACAGACACCTGTCCCCTCCCACCTCTGAAATGCCTGGCCGCGGGGTCCCGACCTCAGACCGGCCTCTCCCTGCGCCCCGCCTGCTCTCCTCGTGCCACGTCTTGCTGACTGCCACTGCCTGGATCCGCGGCTCCCGCCGCCACATACTCTGATGGTTTGCCCTGTGAGGGTGGGGACGCGTCTGCCTGCCTTTCCTCGTGCCCGCGGCCGGCCCACAGCCAGGAACACACAGATGTGTGAGTGGGTGGGGGGCCAGGCAGGACGTGCAGGGCAGGGGAGGGTGGCTCCCGAGGGGCTTGCCCGGCCTGCACCGTGAGGGACCCTCTGCAGGGAGCCGCCGCAGGGAGCAGGTGGGCTGGGGGAGCGGGCCCGGGGAAGCAGAGGGCACGGACGCCGGGCCTCTTGCCGTCCTGCTTTGCCCCGTGTCCGGGAAGAGGCCCACCTAATGGCCTAGGTCACCGACTGAGTCCTGGGACCGGTGCGGAGTCCTCGATAGGCCCTGGGGCTTCATGACGGGCTCTCTGCCCACCATGGGTGATTCTAACACAGGAACACGGTGTGGGGGATTTAAAGAGCTTCCTCCCAGATAATCCACAGGCCCGTGTGTATGCATTCGGACACATCTGGTGCCTAAGTCCAAGTGGAAGGAGGCTCTGCTAAGAGACTAGATTTCTCTTTTCGAAATCAGAGCCAATACTGTACGTTAAAAGCATAAATCACCTAAATATTGTGACTTTGCTCGTTAGCCAGCAACCAAAGACCGAAATAGAAAGAAAAGGTAGGATCCTCATGCATTCCTGGGTGGGCGCTAAGCATGTGCTTCTGGACAGGAAAGCGGTTCCGGAAACAGCTCCCAAGGAACCGTGGCCGGCTCTCAGCACAGCTCAATTTCACTTGTCCCCAGCCACCTCCTCGCCTGTGGCTCACTCGGGCCTCCCGTGGTCCGGGGCCACCATCACCTCGGCAAGGCCACAAACGTCCGGGAGGAGCGGGCGCGGATGCGCGAAGGGCCACCTTGCTTTTCCAATCAGCGCAGCTGCTGAGAGGTGGGCTGGTGGGCCCGCGGGCGTGGGGAAGGCACCGCTGCTCCCCACACGGGGTCTCACCCCTCCCGAGCGCTGCCAGGCGCCACGCGGCCATCCGACCAGGCTCCCTTTCCAGGGGCCGGCCGTCAGAAGGCCGAGACCCACACCCCTCAGCGTCCACGGTGCGCGTCGGCCGAGCCGAGCGGCCCTGCACCTCAGCGCCCACGCGGGTCTTCTCGCACACGGCTTAGAAGACTCGCTTTGAAGAGGGAGGGAACTCACACGGTGGTGTTCACGTGCCCGATCAGGGTTCTGTTAGCAACAAGATAACGGCCAACTGTACTAGGTCTGGAACAGTCAGACTGACGACAGGATGCCTGGTTACCAGCACAATCACTGGGACTCTCAAAACGGATCCCAAACGGAGAGAAGGTAGCCGGTTAGGTGTCCCCGGAGCGATGGGAATGGGTTTTGAAACAGCATGTAGCGGGGAAGCAAAAGGAAGCGACGATTTAGGGCCTCGCCGGCATCCCCCACGCACACACGCTCACGCGCTGCCGACACAGGCTCTGCCACCACAAAAGACACACGGAGCTCACTCGGACGGCTGCATCGTGGCGGGGGAGGAGCAGGTGTGAGGACGACGCAAACAGGACGGGGGCTTCGGGGGCCTGAGTGAGGAGGGGCAACCCCACACGGACCCGGGCCCAGGAGGCACCGCTGCAGGGCCAGCCACTAGGAGAGCTCCAGGCCCTCCTCCCTGAAGACCCCGCATACGCCGCATCTCTCCTTCACCATCCGTCCTAAACCGAGTGTGAAACTAGCTCCCAGACCTGGCCGGTTCCCCTGCTGGAGCGTCCGGGCCCGCCTCTCCCCGCCCAACTTCACGGTCAGAAGACAACACACAAGTGCAAAAGGCCCCTTGGTGGCGGCTCAGCTGACACGGGCCTCTGGCAGCAGGCAAGGGAGCAGGGGCTGAGCTGGGACGAGCCCCCTGCTAAGAGTGGGGACAGCCGCGGGGGCCATTCAGTGCGCTCGCCTGGGACAGAGTAGACACTGCCGTCCACTGTGGGGCCGTCCAGCCGGCCCCAGGGACCGTGAGGTTGGGGCTTTACTGGTGCTGTGCCTCGGTGGCACCGACGGGGCCCACAGGATCCTCTCCCGTACTGGAGATGCTCCAGGCAGCCGAGGTGCCGCCCTGCCTGTCGCGCCGCATTGGCCTTTTTTCACGCAGCCTCCTTGCTCAGCTCGTCCCTGAGGCCCCTGGCCACCTCCCCACTGTCCGCATCCTGGAAGGCTCCTTTCTGAAGCTCCCCTCTCTGGACATGCTCTGCCCGGGTTCCCACCTTTTCTCGCCCCGCCGGTCCCCAAGCCCTCCACCAGCAACCTGTCCTCCTGCACCTGCAGTCCTGCCCTTGGAGCTAGCGGCTCAGACCTCCACCCTCTGCCCGAGTTCCACTCCATGACCACCGGGACCGGGGCCCTGGGCACACTGCAGTCCACACACGAACACCCCGCGACTGAGGGACAGAGCACACAGCACGCCCTTCTCCACAGGGAGCTGGGGAACCTCCCTCCCGTTTTGGCCAACTGTCCCCACACATCTTACGGTGTCACCTCCTACAGCGTACCCTAAGCCACGACGGCTGGGCTTTGAAAAACCGACTTGAGTAGCAAGGACGAGCCCTGCTGTGTAAACAGAGAACAGAAGTCCCTCTGCGGGGTGATGGCTCTTGTGACAGAACAGGCTGGGGTGGGAGGGTCTCTGGGGCACATCTGGCGCCAGCTCTCTTGGGGTTCCCAGGGGGTCTTGGGGAGCAGAGCTCCCGGCAGTCAGAGCACCTGGCCGGGCCGTGGACCAGACCCACCATGTGGCCAGAAGGACAAGCAGCTCTGGTGTCGTTCTGAGCCCACCAGGCCCCGGCTCCCCCTCCGGGTGGGAGAAGCGAGCCCCCAGCCAGCACCGGCAGCAAGGTCTGGGGAGCAGGGCAGGAGGGAGCCCAACAAGACGCTGGCACAAGCCCTCAGCCACACTGCTCCAGGGTGTTCTGGATGCTTCCACGTGGGGAGCAAATCCCACTGGGGGCTGGTTTCTGTGACTAGACTCACACAACGGGACCCTGACGCCCAGGGGGGCGGTGTTACAAGCGGGGCTCGAGGCAGTCACGTCACGCGGGGTTGCGCGTTGGTGGGCGTGGTCAGTGCCTTTGGAAAACCCTGCCAGGCTCCCTCCCCTCGGACCCCAGGGAGGAGGCAGCGAGACCTGTGATTTGAAAGAGCCTGCGCCCGCCGTGTGGCATCTCGATCCCGGCCCTCCCGCTGCCGGCCTGTAAGCGACAGACTCTGGCCTCTGTCTGTGGTGCCTGGTTACAGCAGCCGGAGCGGACAAGGCAGGGGCAGTGGCCCCTCGACCTCGCTCTGCGTGTCCTCCTGGAGAAAGGGTGTCTGCAAAGGCCTCCGCTCAGCTCCTCCTCGCCCTTCCTGGCTCGGCCACGGCTGCAGGTGGGGAAGGTCTCTGCCCGGAACCGGCGAGGCGGCACCCATGTCGTGGGGCGCTCGCCCTGGAATCTCACGCACCTCCTCATGTCCCCTTGTTCCCACCGTTCCAACACTGTCCCTGCCACCCCTCAGAGGGTCCGGGCAGCCGTGGCTCGCCCGTGATTGCTTTATGATGCTCTCCTCCCTTTTTCGCACTTTCCCCGGAAGCTTCTGCACGGCAGGAACGCTCCCTGGACTTTCTCATTCTTCTCCCTGTTGTCCAGGTCCTGCCCCTGTTCTGCTCTGCTTCCTAGGGGATGGAGCCCACCGCCCCTCCAGCCTGGGACTCTCTACTGTCTGATGCGGCTTGAGCGTTCTGGGTCTCCTCCATGCTGGCTGCACTTGTCCACGTTACGTGGACGTGGTAGCTCTCTTTATGGGTAACGGCAGCTACAGTTTTCTTCACAGTGTCCCCGATCTGTCCTAGAAGCCTCTCCTCTGAGCTGCCCTGTTTCAGGATCTTTCTCCCGCTAAGTGCTTCCCTGGGGGGGGGGGGGGGGGGAGGATAATCCTTGGTCATCTATTCATAAGACTGAGGACCTAAGAGCCACTGGGAGCTCCGGGCACACGGTGGGCTCACGAACTGGTGGCTCCCCATTGGGGTCCCGTCAGCTTCCGTAGGGCCGGTCATTCTCTGAGGAGGTGTCGGCAATGTCTGCCTGGGGCAGGGGAGGCCTCTCAGAACCTCTGGCCAGCCCCAGATGTGACCCCTCCCCGCTCTCTGTCCCGGGCCCAGGTCTCTGCAGTGGCCAAGCCGAGCCCCCCCAAGTTGGGGGTGTCCACCCCCAGCCCTAGCTCCGGAAGGCACTTTCTGGCACCTGCCGTCCCCCTGCCGTCCAGCCCCCAGGCTCTCCCGTGCTGCTGGCTCCTATGTCCCCAGAACAAGGGTTCACGTTGTCCGAAAGCCTTGTTACTACAGGGCAATGGGGCTCAGGGAGTAATATGACTGGCCGCCCTAGGACAGGACCCCGATCTCCTCCTGGCCACCAGCTCCACCCCCTCCAAAGACTAGAGCGCTTCATTCGTGTCAGGTACCTCAACGTCTACAGCATTTCTAGCACAGAAGACACGCTCCCCGAGGGAGGAAACAACTGCACGCGTGAAGCAGGGCACACACCCACGCGCGCACGGAGGGAGTGACCGGCCACAACGTGGGGAGATCGCCCAGCACAGCCTGAGCAGAGCCTTCGGTGACAGGGGGGAGGAGGCCGCCCCCGCGTCCCCCCAGGTTCAAGGTGGTTGGGAGGCTGGGGTCAAGGTGCCCCGGACAGGTCATGACGGGGGTGGGGTCTGCGCCCAGGAGCCCGAGGGTCCGGAGGCTCCGGACCTGCCTGTGCTGGAGGTCCCTGCTCAGACCCCCCCACCTCCTGGGGCGTTGATGCAGCAAGTCCCTTCGCTCAAGCCCACCAGCGCGGAAGCCCCGCACCCCGCGGGGAGCCCGCGTGGGGCTGCCCCGGCCTCCCGGCCTCCGGGCTCACTGCCGGAGAGGGCTGGCAGCAGGTCCGCGGCTGGAGTATCCCCCGATCTTCGCCAGTGTCTACGCCCTGCCACGGAACGTTCCGCAAGACCGGTGGTTCTCGCCCGCCGTGGCCGCAGCACCCCCGGCCCAGGCACGAAACCAGCAGCCTCCGCCCACCCTCCCCTCAGTACCTGGTGCAGGCCCTGCGCAGGCGCAGGACACGCCCGGTGGGCGGCGCTCAAGGGGCGGGGCCAGCGAGCGCGGGCGGTAAAGGTAAAGAAGGCCTTGAAATACCTAGAAGTTTCTTACTGTCCAGTTTCTGCCTGTTGAGGGGGTTCGTGCCATAGAGCAGGGCGTGCGCCTCCGAATGCACCGTCTGCAGCTCCTCCAGGGTGGCCTTCCGTCCGCGGATGCACTGCGGGGACAGAAGGAACAGGTGCGCACGTCTCCCTGTGCCTTCAGGGCTTCGTGTCTACAGAAGGCAGTTCCACGAACACCGTCACCCCGGAGGAAACTGAATTTTGTAGTGCACGGGCACACGGTTATTTGGTCCTCGCAAAACAAAAAGTAAACAGCACCCAACACAACGTTTAAAAAATATCTGAAAAATGTTTTGGAGGCTTTACGCGTTAATTATAACTTTGAAAACGTTTAGAAAGATAATTCCAGCCTTCGACGCTTTAACCTTCCCTGTCACCCACATGATTTGGCATCAAATTGCCACTTTGCCTTCTAACTGCTGGGGCCCCTGTCGGGGATGGGGGGGTGGGGCTTGCCACAAGCCGTGGGAGCTGCTCCCCTATAGCGCCCATGCGGGGGGGCGGGGCACCAGGCCCCTGCACGAGAAAGACACCCTTCCCGCCATCCTCGCTGGGCCCTTCGGCTACCTTCACTCATCACCTGCCTGTCCCTCTGCTTTTCCTTTGGTCTGGAAATTCCTCAAATCAAGACTCCACAGCGATGTCCACGCTTTCCCCCAGAAATTAACATAAAATTCACTGTTCTTCACAGGAGCTCCGCTTACTTAAATTTTTAAGAGGAGGGCAGTTTATGGAGCGAGATCAAAGTTCACGTTTCTGAGGGCGACAGTCCCACGGGCGTCTACACGACCCTGGGGGCCTTGGTGGGGCTCCTGAGCGCAAGGCAGGCCTGGGGCTGCTCCTGCTGGCTGTGACAGCTTCCTGAGGGACGCCGTGGACGCGGGAGATGAAGGGAGCGGAGCGGGCAGGTGCAGGCCGGCGGCCGCACGTCTGCCAGCCGGGCCTCCCCGCGTGGACGGGGCCGTGAGCCCGCGCCCTTCGCTGTCCAGCAGAGGCCGACGCGGCAGCACAGGGAGGGGAGCCCGGCCCTTGGGGCTCCCTCAGTTGTCCACTGGATCGGGGGGCCCTGACCAGGAGGTTCTGGTCTCCAAGTGGCCGGGGACCTCGGGAAGTCCGGGCACTGCCAGTCCCTCTAACCTCTGTTGTCAAGGGCTGACACCCACCACCCGTGTGCAGCACCTGGGCCCTGCGCTCTGCCCTGGGGGCCCGTGTGGGAGCCTGTGGAGGCAGGGACGCCATATCCCTCGGGGCTGCGTGAAGCAGGTGGTGTACCCTGAGGTCAGTGTCCCCGCACGTCAGGGACACTGGGCTCTGCGTCCCGCGTGTCACTGTGTGTTTCGCACGGGCCTCCTCCCAGCCGTCCTGCTGACTCAGGTCTGACCCCACGTCTGACAGACCCCCTCCTCCCTGGTGTCCACGTCCACAGGTCCAAGGATGCCCCACAGCCGCCGGCCACCAAGTGGCAGCACTCCGCCTCGGGGCAGATGAGGGTCCCATTCTCCCCACGTGTTCTGTCTCATGGTCTTATCCCTACCGATCCTGTGCAATCTTCAATCTGAAAAGCCCCCAGAGGCCCCCGACTGAGGGGACCCTCCAGGAGAGGCCAGAGGGTAAAGAGCAGTCACGGGGAGCGGTCCTTTGAAGGAGGAGCAGGGGCCCTGGTCCCATGAGGGACGCCGAACAGGACACCAGGGCATTGGAAGATCTCCTCGGAGGGGTGCCTGCCAGGGCGCTGCTGCCCCCCGGTGGTGCAGCCTCCAGCCTGACCCCAGAGCAGGTGCCGTCCTCCGTCCTGCCCAACCAGGCAGGGTCACGTCCTCCCCAGAGGGCACCGTGGGGGCTCTCGTGCCCCTTTCCCCTCCCCAAATCCTGTATCACCAGACGAATTTAAATTCCCAAATATTGTAGCTTCTGAAGGAGAACAGATGGACACACAGAGGGGGTGCTGCTGCCCCCACGGCCCTGACGTGCCTGCTCTAGGGCTCTTGCCTGGGTCACTGTGCAGGGAAGTACGTGCCACCCGCATCCCGTCCTTGCTTTTGCGGGACGGACATAGGTCCCCACTTGATGGTCGTATGGGGGGCCGGCCGCCATTGTCCTGCAGTAGGGGGGGCACAGGGGAGGCTAGGGGACAGGAGAACGGAGGAAACGGGGGACACGGGGACAGACAGGGATAGAGGAGACAGGGGGACAGAGGGGGCGGGGATAGAGGGAGCAGGGGGACAGGGATGGAGAGGGATGGGGATAGAGGGACAGAAGTGACAGGGGAACAAGGAGGCAGGACAGAGGCAGGCTCCCCCAAGGGAGGACCTGGGTGTTCAGGAAAGCAGACTGAGCCTCTTCCCGCCCACACACCGGTGCCTGATGCCCTGGCGGGAACGCTCATGGGCGCCCCCAGCCTGTCGCGACCTGTCGCCCGGAGCCCAGCAGCTGCCCTGGGGGCGGCCTTACCTCGCATTTGCCCCTGAGGCCCGTCTCCTGCAGCCGAGACCAGATGCTCTGGATCCGCCCCGCGTGCTCGGGGTGGCTGTTGGTGTTCCCGCAGGTACACTGGTGTTTCAGCATCAGCGTGTCGTACACGAGGCCTGGGGACGGGAGCGGAGTTGGCCGCGGTCAGCGGGGCCCTCGGGGGCCTCTGGCAGCAGGCCCGCCGCCCTCCACCCACCCAGAGCGCTACCCGGCGGGACAACCTGCCACTTCCCTGGGAGCGGCCGGGCCAGCGTAGCCCCGCGTCTCCCAGGACGATCTGTCTGGAAACCGCAAGTTCACTGGAGGCCGAGTGCGGTTCACAGAAATGGGAACGGGCTGTGTGCCGGCTCACCGCACATGCCCAGGGGTCCCCGGGGTGGGGGGTGGCGGGGCAAGTCAGGAAGACAAGAAAAGATGCCCCAGCCCGCTCCCAAGCCTAAGCCGTGTGGCACTCATGTTCCAGGATGGCTCTGTTTTCCCCCCAACTAAGACGCTTTAGGCCCCGAATCCAAGTCCCTCTTGTCGGGGAGCAGCCTATCAAGCAGTTCCGAGGACCGTCCAAGATTTGTGGGGGCTCAGAAAAAAGGTAAGACTTGTTTCCTACTCTCAGAACCCTCCGGACTGGCTGGGACACGTGTGCGATGACACAGACACACGGGCAAGCACGTGTGGTGAGAATTAACACAGAATACGGGTAACCAACTGCCTGGTCTACAGCGTCTCTGGGGGCACAGCGGGGCGCCAGGGAGCCTTGGGGATGGGGTGGCCCTTGAGGAGCGATGTGCGGCCGGCCCCCAGACGGGATGGGGACACTCCCAGACCAGAGTGACTGATATCACGGCCAGGAAAATCTCATGCAGGTGGACGTATCCTGTGCATCTGGACACGGGGCTGGAGAAAGGGGAGGGCAGGGGCGTGCTGAGCGCACCTGCTCTGTGTACCCCCCCCCCCCCCAGGGGGGGGGGGAAGGTTCGGGGCCCACGTGACCTCCGCCGGGGGGGGGTTCCCGCTGCCCCTGCCGCAGCACTGTCTGTAGTCCCCCAGTACCTGGTCTCCCAGGGGCACAACCGGAAGGTCAGGCTGGCTGAATGGACCCGCTCGGGCAGGCAGGGGCCTGGGAAGGGGCATGTGTGGCTAAGACCCGCTCCCGGAGGCAGAGAAAGGTGGGGACCCCGTGAGACGAGCTGTGCTGTCAGACCCACGGCTACTTCTATGCTCCTGATGCTGAGAACGGAGGCAGTGTCACCACACACAGGAACAGGGCTGCAGGATGAGCCTGCTTCTACAGGGCCAAGCTGGACGCCTGGCCTCAGGACGTACTGGGCCCAGTACTGCCTCTCAGTCTCTCGTGAGTCAGGCTAACGGGAGTCAGTCCCCTCGTGTTGGAGCATTCCTGGGTTATACCAGCAAGACTGGGTGGGGCAGGGAGGACTTCTGGTAAAAAAAAGCAGCTGGCGAAGAACAGGCCTATGGGACCAAGCGCGCTCACCACCCACGCGCTAAAGTACGTGTACAAGACACGTGTACCCGAGAGGGTGCGTTCAGCAGTTTGTAATGGCAACATACATACGTACGTGTGCACGCGCGTGCACGTGTGGAATGCGTGTACACAAACAAGACGAACGTGGCATCATCCCGACACAACGGTCGGCTAGTCTTTACTGATCCCATGGCGGGAACTTTCGAGGTGACCGCAGGTCACTCCCGCTTACAGATAGGAACCTGGAATCCAGAGAGAAACTGCACGAGTCTGCAGAGCCGAGGAGCCAGGACGCTCTGCCGCCACGAGGGCGAGCTAGGACCACGTGCACGGGATGCCGCCAAGGCAGGGCGTGGAGAATTGCCAAGCCCACGGCGACCGCCGAGTCCCGTCTTTGGAAACGTGTCCGTCCAGTTGTGCACAGAAACAGATCTGGAGGACTTAAACCCGATCCTGAGGGTGGCTACCTCTGGGGGGCGGGATTCCAGGCAACTGTCAATGTCTCGGTGTTTCTCTCCTGTTTCTTTTCGGTGACCTCGTCCTAGTTTATACATTTTCAAAAAGCAGTAAGGCAGATGAGGCCACTGGCCAGGCCACTGCAGGGGACGCGCAGGCACCAAGGCGCCCCGGGGGCCTCCCAGGCCCCCACGGTGGGTACATTTCCACCACGGTTACAGGGACTGGGGTCTCTGGGGTCTTTTAGGGACGTGCCCATCTTAGTCACCTGCTGACTCTATTTGTGACCCTCTGCAGTTTCCTGGTTTCTTTCTGAAAAGCAATGATTCGGCCTCTGGATAAGTACTAATGACATTTTCCTCTGAATATAAAAAGTATCCTTTTAACAAGGAGAACTTGGGCACGTTCAGACGTTCCATGTTACAGCGTGCGGACAGGACGTCTTAGAGGTCTGTCTGAAGGACGAAACCGTTGTGTTTTCAGGGACTGTGCTCTTTGTCTGTCACCAGAAAGAACCAGCAGCCGAGAAGGATGTGAAGAGCCGTCCTGGCCGCCCTCTGTCCCGGGCCGGGCATAGCTGGGCAGCGTGGACGCCCGGGGTGCAGCCCGTTGCCTTACTTGGGAGGGCCCGACTCAGAGCCCAGAGCCTCTGGCCCGGGGGGGGGGCGCCTGCCCGGCCACACAGTCCTCGTCCCTGCCTGCAGGGGGCAGTGCTGGTCAAGCAGAAACAGTCCTGCTGGCAGGTGTCACCGTGCTCCCGCAGGGGTGGGGCAGGGAAGACAACTGGATCCAGAAGGCGAGACCCGGACCGCCTGAGCTGTCCCAACTGTGCCCACGAGCTACCTGGGCCTCACAGCCGAGGCCCCACCTGAAGCTTCGGTTCACAGAAGGGCGGGTGAGAAAGCACGAGGTCGCGGTCTCTGCTGACCGTGGATGGGAAGCTACCCGGCCTGCCGGCCACGGTGGCCTGTGGGTGGGCGGTCTCTGGAGGAAGCGGGTTCTCCAGCAAAGGGGAGATGGGCTTTGGCACCCAGGAGAGACCGCAGCATCAGAGAAGGGGGTGGGGAGCCTCAGTGACCCACCCAGCCAGTCCCCCAGCCAGGGCTCTGCCCAGGCGCAGATCAGACCAGGTCAGGGGTATCCCCTCGCCCTCCGGACAGTGCGGCCCGGGGCGGGCCTCCTGTGTCTGCTCCGGCCGCGCCCCAGTCTTGCCCGCAGGTGCCGGTCGGCCGCCCCAACCCACACGCCCCCGTGCACGGTACCTGTGGTGAACCTCGGTTTGGTGGGGGGCTCCTGCACGGACATGGGGAAGGTGGCAGACGCCGGGGACGACTGCGCCCGGGACAGAGGCCGGTGGCCGCCGAAGGACACGGGGATGCCGGCCGCCTCCATGGACGCCTGGTAGTTCCTCAGCTGGTGGATACGCTGCTGTTCCAGTAGGAGGGCTTGCTGGGGTGGGGGGGGGGGGAGAAGACACAGGCTCTTGTTGCCCCCACATCACCTGCCCCCTCCCCGGCTGAAGGATCTCTTCTCTAACGGCTCTGGGCACCCGCATGCAGCGCACGGTTCAGGAACTCGCTGGGGCGGCTGCCGGGACGGGCTGCCTGGTGCCCGAGGAGTCCCCACCTGCAGGCAGCCCTCCCGGGCGAGTCTACTGTGCTCTTGCTCTGACCAAGAGTCCCTGATGCGCAGCCAGAGACGTGAGAGAAGAGCACGCCTCAGGGTGGAACGGCTGACTCTTCCATTTGCCACGTTTGCTCCCCGGCCTCCTGGCGTCCCGCACCCCGGCCCGAGGGCAGAAAGGCTCCACTGAGGCAAAGAAATGTTCTGTTCAGGTTCCAGGTGCCCGGGGCTCGGCCGACCGACCGGGTGTCAGGGAGCAGGGATGGGCGGATGTGCCTCTCTGAGAACGGGTGGGGACCCAGATGGACAATGCCCAGGACCCCACGTTGGCTGCCTTCCAGCAAAAATAACCAGAAGAAAAAGGAGGTGAAGCAATTAAACATACTTTCACAAATGCCTCTTTTTCACAAAACTATTTCTAGGAGTCGGCTTTGGTAAGGGCTCAATACCACAAGGGCCCCAAGTGGGCAGCGTGGTGTGGGCACTGCCGGCCAGCCGGGCTCACTGATGCCAGGAGTCTGCACGACAGAAGAGGCAGCCCCTCCCCTTGTCCAGACCGCCTCTATGGGGCAGCGCTTTGGTGCCCGGGGTGCTGATAACGTGGACCCAGAAGCCACAGAGGGACCCCCTCCGAAGGAGCGACAGATAAAGCACGAGAGATGCCGCCTGCCTGCAGCACGCCCCCCGCGGACTGTGGGAGCCGCCACGCTCCAGACACAGCTCCGCTGCTCAAGGCTACGATCGGATTCCACTTCCTGCGCACCCCTGGCCGGCTGCCCTAGTGGTTTCGTGGGCGTGGAAGTTTTATTTTTCACTATAAATTGATAAATCTTTCATCAGTTTACTCATCAGTCTCTAGTGGGTTTGGTCCCTGTGTGTCAGTGCCTGGAACTACGTCACACCGGTTTTCCAGATCTGTAAAGTCGGTCACCACTGCCTCTTGGGCCCCCAAAGGCCCTGACTACCTTTTTGATCAATTGAGAAATCAATCTCCCTTGGGATGCCTGGGTGGCTCAGTCGGTTAAGTGTCCGACTCCGGCTCAGGTACTGATCTCACGGTTCGTGAGTTCGAGCCCCACGTCGGGCTCTGTGCTGACAGCTCGGAGCCCGGAACCTGCTTCAGATTCTGTGTCTCCCTCTGTCTCTGCCCCTCCCCTACTTGTGCTCTCTCTCTCTCTCTCTCAAAAATAAACAGTAAAAAAAAAATTTAAAAAAAGAACAAAAAAAATAAATCAATCTCCAACCCCCTCCACCTTCAATGATTATGCTGAATCCTACTAACGCTTGGATTTATGTGAGCCTACAGTTTACAGATCTGAAAGAAAACCATCCCTAGGGACTCCGAAGCTGGCATTTGGCTGGAATACAGGTGCACAAAAGCCCACCGTGGACAGACGGTCTATATCTCTAGGCACAGCTAACGTAAAAGAGACAGCAAATTGCACCCGCCTCCCACACCACCCGGGGAAGGGCCGGGAGGAAGAGGCCCGTCCGTGTCCACCGACGGCCGGCCATACGGCGCCGCCCCTTGAGGAAAGAGGGCCTGGCCTGTCCCTCCTGGCCCGCCCGGTCCGTCGACTCCCACCCCGCCTGGCCCCCGCCGGCGCGGTCACCTGTCTGAAGAGCAGCTCCTGCTCGGTGGGCTGGCGCTGGCCCGGCTCTACCTCCCGCGGGGGCTCCGCCTCCTCGTCATCACTCTCGATGGGCTCCTGCTTCACTTGGACGCCGGCCAGAGCGTGTGCCTCCTTCTGCCCAGAGAGCCGGTCCAGGTAGGGCTCCTCCAGGAGGGCCTGGTGCTCACGAAGCTCCTCCTCCGTCTCCTCGGGATGGCTCTCGGGCTGCCGGGCCGGCTCGCTCTGTTTGGGGATAATCTATAAGGCAGAGGTAAGGGATGAGGGCCGCGGAGACGACGTGACAGCACGAGCTCTGTGCCTCAGAGCAAAGGGACGGACGACCTGGACGGATGCTGCCGGGCCTGAGCTGGAGCCGGCAGGCACTGCTTGTCCCCCAACACCCTGGGCGCCGGGCCGGCCGGGGAAGGAGAGCCCAGCGCCTGGTGCGCATTTGTTAACAAGCACCCGTGTGCCGAGCGCAGAGACGCGGGGTATGAAAGTCACGGCGGTCAAGCCAGGCTCCTGGGGGACCGGCGCCGTGGCTCCGAGAAAATGTGACCGTCTGCAAAGCCCCTGACTATGCTGCTGTGGAGAACGCTCCGACTCGGTTTCCAGAAGGGGAGAGGTTTTTGAGGATGCCTAACACGTTTTGGCCACCGCACGTTTGTACGCAAGTCCTCCCAGACCGCTTGCTTCACCACCCACACCACCACATTGTGGGTGTGACGAGGGTCGGACTGGGCGGACGCCTGTGTGCAAGTGTCAGTGTTCCGTGTGCTTGTCCCCAGGGCCCAGCCCTCCCAAGCAGCTCCCCGAGGCCCATGTGCCCACAGCCCTCAGAGGGCACAGCTAGGGGGTGAAGCGTGGACCCGCCTCTTACGGGGCAAGGGTCCCGGACTCCCTCTCTGGCTTTCTCCGCTTCCTTGGGAAGTGAGGGCATCTGAGCAGAGGCCTCCAGGCCCCTCCAGGGGAGTCAAGCCATCCTGGGCTTCACGAGAGACAGCCCAGCTCCGTGAAGGGTTCCCGGAGGCCGGATCGAGCGGCCCCGTTGTCCCGGGGAGCTCTGGGCAGGGGCAGGAGCACAGGCACCTGAGGTGCCGCCAACCCCTGGGGCGCAGGCCACCCCTCCGAGGCGGCCTCGGCCTCTCAGGCCGCAGCGCGGAGGGAGTTGGGAGGCACGTGGCCACAGCCGCAGACTCCCCGTGATGCAGGGGGCTTGTGCGGTCAGTGTCCTTGGGCCACGGCCGTGGCCAGAGGCCTGTCGCCGCCTTCGAAATGCAACTCTGGGGTTGCTAGCCGGGCTGTGGGCGGGCGGCACAGTGGAGCTGACGGCGGGGGCGAGGCTCCCGCCAGCCAGCGCGCTGGCCGATCATTGTCGGCGACACGCAAACCAGCTGTGTCCTGCGACGCCCTCCGGACTCCAGGAGCCCCTTCCCCAGACGGCATGAGAAGAAACGCACGTCTGTATTTGGAGCGGGGCCCTTGCTAAAGCCAGACTACGGGTCGGGGGAAAAGCCAAACTGGTAGAGAGGCCAGGGCTGGAAGATGAGTGGGCGTGCCCCTGGTCTGACCGCCCGGACGGAGGACCCGGATGTCAGGGTCAGCGCCGAGAGCGCGGAGGTGAGCAGGAAAGTCCGCGGCGAGGCACGCAGCCCGACCCACGGGACCACGGGGCTCAAGCCGCAACAGGAACAGCCTCCCCCAGCAAAGCCTCTGTCCTGCGGGGGCAACAGGTGCCCTGGAGCACCGTCCCCACAGAGGGGGGAGAGCGCGTCCCGCCACCGCATTTCCCACGTCACTGCGCCCAGACCCGCCAGAGGGCACACCCACACTCGCTGGCCTGCAGGGGGCGGCTGCCGCTTGCACAGCTCGAGGCTCCGCCACCCACCGGCGACATGCGTTCTCCAGAAAGGCCCTTCACCTGGCGGACCTTCACCAGACACCACGGCACACGAGGTGCCGGGCTCTCACAAGTGACGCTGCTACGGCCGCAGAGCACCGGTGACCGTGTGCCGACCTCGGGCCAAAACAGGTGAGCACAGCCGGCTCCCGGGCGCGTCTTTCCTGTTCTCAGAGGCTCCGCCGCCCAGCATTCGGTTCCCGTGGCGGCCCAGCGGTTCGGTTCCGTGGCCAGTGACCCTGGGAAGACCGGAGCAGCCGTGCATGGCTGCTCTCCCTAAGGGGGGGCGTCAGTGAAGTGAACGCACTCGGAGGCAGGGGTTGAACGGGCCATAGATCACGCAGGAAACGGCCACGATCCCCAACGCAGCCCGAGCAGGGCTGCGGGATGGGAGGTCTCAGGGCTGCTGGGAGCTGGGCCCTCGTGCCCTCGGGTAAGGAGCCCCTTAGGAACAGCGTCTCCCAGACGAAAGGCAGAAATACTGGTGCCAGACGGCACTAGACAACGTCGTCGGCTCCCCGAGATCCCAGGAGAACGCTGTACAAACATTTCAATCACCCGTCATTCACGCTCATAATCAATCATGGAATAGAGTCTAGGGAGATTACCCAGTTTCTCAATCATTCTTTTCAAGACTGTACCAGGAGTGAATAGGTGTTTCCCGTCTTCCTAACACCTCCTACCCTATCAGTCAGACAGTGACACAATAAAATTAAGAAGCCACGGGTGGCACTGGGGAGATGAATGTGAAGTGGGGTTTACAGCTGGGAGCACACACTGACAGCCTGTCTCGCCCACAGGAAGTAAGTAGGTGCCTTTCCTGTGCAGGGGAGGGTGTGCTGGCTGGCCCTGTGTTGTGGGGGGGGGGGGGGGCAGCCCGTTTCCCACGGGAGCCTTAGCTCGGCCTGCACTGGGCATCTGGCTGTTCAGGGGCAGGGTGCCGGGGGACCGTGTCCCCACAACCCTGCAGCGGGGTCACACGGGCTGCATTCAGGCGGCTGGCGGCCGCCGTCTTCACGGGACGCTGTTTCCGGTTTTGATGACCAGCACCACCACACCGAACTTCCCTACTTCCTGCCCAAACCCCCCTCTGTGAGGGACCTTCGGGACCGTGCGAGGGCGCAGACCCCGCGAGCAGGGTGTCCCGGCGGGCAGGCCCTCGCAGGTGCCGAGGGGCTCAGAAAGGCGGGTCCGCTTCAGGAAGAGGGGCGCCCAGGGAGCTCGGGGCCGCGGGGCCGCACGCGGATGCGATATGCACCCCCTTGCCCCCCCCCCCCCCCACCGCCGAATGCGCTCCACCGGCCGCGCCCGCAGACCCACCTTGCTCATGTGCAGCTGCTGCTGGAACTGCTGCTTGTGCTTCTCCAGAAACTGCTGGTGCTGCTGCTGGATGACCAGGTGCTGCAGGGCCGGCGCGTTCTGGGGCAGCGGGGCCGACTGCGTGCGCCCCAGTGGGCGGTGCTGCCGCAGCTTGTGCACGGACGGGGACACGCGGTCCGCTCCCACCAGCGCCTGCGCGTGCAGGGGCAGCGCGCCCAGGCCTGAAAGACACCGTAGTAAGGTGACGCGGGGGCCCCCCGTGCTCCACCCTGAAGCCCGGGGCGCAGGCTGCCGTGAGCCGCCGGCGTGGGCTTCAGTGAGCAGGGGCCGCCGTGCGCAGGCGTTCCGAGTCACAGGTTCCGGAGCGGCCGGTCCGCCCGGCAGTGGCCCCACGACCCCTCGGACAGGCCCGGGCCCTAGAACGACTGGTTGCGGTCCGAGCGGCATCGCGGGGCCGCCGGAGTGGCTTGCGCCACACTGACCAGGGCTGCGGAGGTCCCGGTGGCCCGGCACGTTCTAGAAGACCGTGGAGACGGCTCTTCCCCTAACCGACCCAGAAACCAAGCTGTGAGGGAAAAATCCCTTCCTGAGGGATCAAATCCTTTAAAGGTCTCTTCAAGCGGTGACTTTATTCACAAAGGGGGTGTTAACACTTGTCACAATCCTGGCGCTTGCGGTCAGAATCTTCTACAAATTTCTGCAAAGGTGCTGCCCCCCCCCATGCCCACCAGCTGCTTCCCCTGCACCCGCACCTGGACTGAGTGTTCGAGATCTGGATGGATATGTGATCCTGCTTTAACGTGCCTTTGAATCTCCTTTTAAAATGCACCCTGTGCAGGGGACACAGATGCCAAACCTTTTTCCTTCTGTAAACTTTCCACCCACCTGTACCTTCTCTTTTGCGAATTGTGGGCTTAGGTAGTTGACCATCTTTCCGGGGTTCTTTGGGCAAAAGTCTCACAAACCCTTCCCTGCTACTGGAAAACGGGCTGCCCCAGCGGCCCGGGCTGGATGCACACTAACCCACGAGGCTCAGGCTGAACCTGACGCGGGTCATGGTCCCCTGCCTGAGGGGGAGCAGCACGTACCTGACCTTGGCAGATGCCCGCCTCCCCAAAAGCACGGCCCTGGGAACTGCTCAAGTGGCCGGCCCCCCGACAGGCAGGCACACCTGCCCATCCCCCTCCAGGGGGGTCCCTGAGACCCCTGGGGTCACTGCAGCCTATTTCCCTTGTCCCTTCGTGGGCTGGAGATTTCAAAATTACAACCACAATTTTGTATGCAGACAGAGAGAGCAGACACCAAGAAAAGGTTCAACCCTCGCAAAGTTGTCCCTGATTAGCTTTTCAAGAAGTCAGCCAACTCCAGCCCCCTAAACTGCCATCGCCTTCTGTCCAGCTCGCTGTTTTCTGGGAGAAGTTATGTTAAATTCCATTATCTGCCTGGCTGCTAAGTTAAAGTTAGTAACTCAAACGCTAGACTGATTCCCTCTCAATTTTCTAGAAGAGCTAAAAAAAAAAAAAAAAACAAAAAAAAAGGTAAAAAAAACCCCATCATCCTAAGAAGGTGTTTCAGAATTCGCCCACTGTTGACAGAGGTGTCGCGAGGATGAAAATTTGGAAGCCAGCCATACGAAGCTGCATTTATGGGACCAAAGGTGACATAGTCACCAAGAGGGTCGCGCCTCGGAAAACACGAAGCTAAAACAGGGTTTCCTGAGCAGCTGCTTCTCAGGTTCCGCAGGACACTGGGACCGCAGGGCTGCCGCGATCAGCTGGGCGGCCGCCCCAGGTTCCGCACAGAAGCTTCTCTTGGCTCTGCGGAAGGAAAGCAGCTTCCAGGGCTGACAAAGGAGGAGGAACATGCATGAATGTGAGCCTTCACACGGGGTGGACACTGCCCTGAGGACACAGGCCACTATCCCCATGGGGACATGGACAGACAGCGGGAGGACCCCGTTCTGGCCCGCCCCCACCCTTACCCTCTCTGGGCCCACCCCACTCACCCCAAAATTCACAATGGGCCCCCTGGGGCACAGAACTCCAGTGCTGTCCCACTCGGGGACTGGTCGCATTTCAGAAAACGGACTCCTAACCTCTGAGTGGCAAACCCATTACTGGTCAGGTGGTTTCCAATTCAGAACCTAAAGTTGACCCCTCAGGTCATTAACAAGGGCTTTTGATGACAGACCCTTATTTGGCTTTCGGTATATACAACGTAAAAGACTTCTATGCATAAAAACACACCATGTGAAGATCCAATTCTGTCCTGGGTGACCCAGCTGCCTGCAGAGGCCCGCTGTGCCCAGATGGGCACCGTGCAGGGACAGAGCCCGACTTGTGCCGCCCGGCGGACCCTGCTCTGGGCAGGGAGGACCGGGCTGCCGGGGGCCTCCTTCCCTGAGCACCTGGCGGGCTGGGAGACGCTTTGCTCTTCCCGCCCACAGGGCTGGTGCAAGTCTGTCGGGGCTCCAGGACACGGACGACACCCGCCTGCCCTCCATGTTGGTCCTGAGAGAGGGACCGGGGGGGGGGGGGGGGGATGGGGCGCGACCGGAAGCCCACGCAGGACCGCACAACGGTGACCGCACAACGGTGATCACGTGGGAATCCCCGGCATTCGCTCGGCCATCCAGGTTGGTGAGTTTGCAAACAAAGGCACCACATCCACATGCCCCAGCCAGTGTGGGGGTCAAGAGGGAAACAGGCGAAGAGTCTGGGTCCTGGCGCTCCGGACCCAGATCTGAGGTGCTGGCCTTGGTGCTGCGGGGCTCGGGTAAAGTAGGCGAATTCACACTGGTGAGTATGGCCTGTGCCCTTAGAAATCCGTATGGGGCATCCCACTGCCCCATGCGCCAGGGTGGGACTCTTTAAGGCCCTCCAAGTGACAGCCGGACAAGGCTAAGTTCTCGCCAGGGGCGTGCCAGGCTGCACATCGGCACAGCCTGAGCGCTGCAAGAAAATCCCTGCAGAGCAGGGGCCCACCTGGACCTGTCAGCTTCGCGGGAGCTCTGGGGGCCTGGCCAGGGTTGGGAATCGCGGGCCAGGCCCCAGGCGCGGCAGCCCCACGCGCCTCCTGGGAGAGGTCAGGTACCAAGGGGAGCGTGCCATCACTGCTGCGGAAGCCAGCTGCCGTCCCCGTGCTCAGAAGCACAGCCACGGGCAGACGGCCGGTTCCGCCAGCCCGTGGGGGGCAGCCCCAGCGAGTGACCTGAAGGCCAGAATGACCCCACATCCACCAGGTGCAACACCCGCTCCCCCCACCTGTCCTTCTCCCGAGACCCTCACCTGAGGCCTCAGCAATGATGCCACTTCTCCAGGAAGCCTTCCCTACGCCCTCCCTGCTGCATGGCTGAGCGTCCAGACCGACTACGGAGGACCAGCCCAGGGGAGACGCTGGGCTGAAAGCTGTGCCTTCCGGCCACACAGCAGCAGGCCTGGACAACACACGTGTCCTTCTCGCCTCGAGATGACGGTTCCATTCCCACCCGCTGCCTCGGGTGGTCGCTCAGAGGCCCAACCTCTGGGAGCGTATGAGGGCGCGTCACTCTTCTCAGGAGAAGATTCGGCTGGACAGCTCCTGGGCCAGCGGGGAGCAAGGTGAGCGCCACACGGAGGTGGGACGTCCCACGGACCCACTCGGGGAGGGACACGGCCCTGGCGCCCGTCCCCCCTCACCCCTCTGCATCTGCGGCCTCTGGTTGTTCGTGAGACACAGCTATTCTGGCTCAGCTGTTCTGTCCGTGTGTCCATCTGCCCACGAGCACTCACGGAAAAGCAGGGCCGCTGGCAGGTGAACCTGGGGACTGTCCCTGATCCTGCTCAGACACAAGCCACCTGAGAAACCCCGAGTGTCCCTCGCTTTGCCCCCAGAGACGTTTACCGCGGGCCTGCAGCACACCGGCCCCGTACAGGGGCCGGGAGAGCGGGGCGATGCCGCGGATGTGCAGATCGTCCTCCGCGAGGGAAGGTGAGCAGGAGGGGAGCGAAACCGAAGCGAAGCTCAGCAGAGCACACAGGCGGGGGAAGGGCCACGTCCGGCGGGGGCCGGGGCCAGGCCTCAGGACAGCCGGCTTGGGAGCCGGGCCTGCCGGGGAAAGGGCGGCCCCCTCTGGCGAAGAGGGAGCCACACCCCTGTGCGCCACACCAGAAGGAGAGGGCTCGCTCCTGTGCCCGCTGGCAGCCAGGCCGTCACGGCCGGCCGGCACCACCCGATAGGCCACGCTCACCTACAGCCCCGACAGCCACCAGCCACACGGGCACCCACCATGTCCCACGTGGGACTGAGAAACCAGACGGGTACTTTGCTTCTGGGTCTTAACGTCCACTTTAAACATCAGGGGCCACACGCGGCCAGTGCTCCAGCTCAGGACGGCGGTGCTCTGGGCAGAGAGGGCTTCTCGGGCCCCGAGGGGCAAGAAACCCGGGCAGGGGTGGAGCTTGGAGGGTGATCCCAGAGACCCGAATCGGGGCCAAGTTCACGGGGAGGGGGTTGGGAGGGGCCACGAGAACTGGGAAGAACTGGGAAGTAACCACCACGACCACACAACTAACACCTGAAGGGGGCTCACCAGTGTCAGGCCCATCCTGCACTAACACACACCTCACTTAACCCCGAAGAAACTCAGCAAGGCAGACACTCGCGTTACCCCTGTTTCACATACGGGGATACTGAGGCACGGCACGAGGGAAGACTTCCCAGGTCACTGAGCTGGGATGAGACAGAGACGAGACAGCCTGTGCTCTGGGCCACGGCCCTGCCTCCAGCACCTGCAGCCGGTGTCCGGGGGCCGGGAGGGGCCTGCAGGTTCGGGGGCGGGGAGGGCAGTGCTAACAGGTGCTGGACCAGAAGTCGTGCCCCAGCCAGTCTCACTGCCACAGGCAAGCCGTCGGCAGCTGCTGTCACAGAAAGGGCCACCGGATCACACACGAAGGGCACAAGCAGCAACGTGGCCAATCACGAAGGAGTCAGGTTCAGCAAGTTTATCAGAGAGGTGAGATTTACCTAAGACTGTCATTCAAGTCCTGTGGGAAAAGGCTACTCCCCACAGTCAGTAGAGTGGCCGACTCTTGATCCCAGGGTCCTGAGTTCAAGCCCACCTTGGGCATGGGGCCTACTTAAAAACAAAAAACGTTACTTCACAGGAAGCTCAGGGATGTGCCCCAAAAATGCTCTTTAACGGTGGGTGACGAGCAGACGCTCGGGGACCGGGGGTCACAAGGAGGGTCGGCTGTAGGTTTACATAAATGATATAGGACAGAAACTCAGGCATCCTTCACTGCTCTTGACCCCGGGCCCTGACTTTGGGTGTCGCACAGACTCAGATGCGATTTCAGACGGAACCCTTGAGCCCCTGTGCTCATGACCCATCATCTGAAAGGCGGGGAGATGCCCAGTGACGCTTCTACTCCCCCTCAACTCTGAAGAGGGCGGTGACCCCGAATTCAAGCACTGGGGGGCCCAGACAGAAAGACAGACACACACACACACACACAGACGGAAGCCCGCCGTCCACACGGACACACACACAGGGCAGGATGGGCCCCTCACGCCCAGACCGGCCCCACGGCTCTTCAGGACCAAGTGCTGGAGAGAGACCGGTGGGCACAAAAGACATTCACCTGCCCGCGGCCCGCGTGGCCACAGGTCGGGACTCTGACCCGCTCGCACCTGCACTTCCCACCAAAGCGTCAAGGAGGTCATGTTAGATCCCAACCGCCAACAAATCAGCAGACCTCCAGGGAGCCGAGCGTGAGGCTGGGTGCTGCAGACGAACAGCAGGTACTTCCCTGTTCCGCAGCAGACCCCACACCTTCGTCCCTCCCAAAGGAACAGTTGCCGTGCAAACCTCCGGCCCCATTTCCTGACTTATTCCTAAGTGTGAGCGTCCCTTACTCAGGGCACACGACAGACGTTTCCGCCACGAATGGGAACTGACGATCTACCAGGGTCGTCCCCCCTCATCTTGACCCAGATGAAAAAGCGGACGGGGGAAGCCGTCTCTCTGGAGAAGCTTCCAGAAGGTCTAAGCGACACCTGCTTTTACTCTGTCTACCTCGTTTTGTAAGTGAGACTCGGTTTATCGACTCCCACGCCTTAACACGGGAGAGGCCGTGGCTAGAAATTCGGGGGTGCGGACGGGCCTCCCCGCTGGGCCCCGAGCCGACCGTGCTCACCTGTGACGAGGGGCGTCTGCGTAGGCAGCTGCTCCAGTAAGACCATGTGCTGTAGCAGCGGGTTGTGTGAAGCCCCACCGTCCCGCTCCAAGGGCGCCGTGCTCAGGTAGGGGGTGAGGTGCGTGCCGGGAAAGAGGGAGATCCGCTGCTGGAGGGCGGGGAGAGTGAGCCTGTCGGCCTCCTGCGGACCTGCCGTCCCCTGGAGAGGTACAACTGTGACGCCCGGGGCCGAGGGCCCGTGATGGACCCCGCCCCCGCTGGCCACACAGACCCGCCGACGCCTACTCACAGCGGAAGGGCCAGTGGCGGGCAGTCCCAGCGTGATGTTGGGCAAGGATGGTGATGTGTAGAGGGGGAGCGGGGCCACAGAACCTTCTCGAGTCACGAGCCTGTGGGCCAAGCTGGTCTGCAGACAGAACACATGACGGCCGTCACACACAGTCTGCCAGCGACAAGCGTGGGCTACAGACACCACGAGAAACGACAGCTGAGAGCGCCTCAGGGCAGGCCACGCGGAGTCCCGAGACGCTACAGTACAGAAACACAGTGACAGGTTACAGCACAGAGGTGGCACAGAATTTCAAAGCAGGTGACAAGCCCCGAAACACGGATTCACAATCCATGACGCTCTTGTTTTTATTCACATTGTTTAATCATCGTAGACTATCAGGAAAATCTAAGATAACGTGTTATAGAATACGTTCTTCGTTGGGGATGTCATTTTAAATATAACATCAGAGGCAGAAACCAGAGAAGATATTGATTAAAACAAAAAATCCCTTTTGGGCGTCTGGGTGGCTCAGTGGGTTGAGCATCCGACTCTTGATTTCAGCTCAGGTCATGGTCGCACGGTTGTGAGATCGAGCCCCGCGTCGTGCTCCATGCTGAGCCTGCTGAAGATTCTCTCTCTCTCTCTCTCCCTTTCTCCGCCCCTCTCCCCTAAAAAAAATCCCCTCCCAGAAAAGGCAAATAATAAATAATGGTCACGGCAATATGGGCAACACGTAGGACAGAGAAAGGTAACTATGTAAAGAGCTCACAGATCAAATAATAATTAGCAAAAGTGCTCATCAAAGGCAAATGACAAAGAACCAGTATTACGGGAGAACTCCTGAAAAATTACTCAAAACCATCAGTAATCAGAAAACATGTTTAAACACCTATCAAGTTGGCAAAGATTTTTAAAAAGAGAATACTCTCTTGGCCCCGAGGAACAGAAACACGCTGCTGGGCAGGTTTATCAAGCGGTGCACTCTTTCTGCAGGAAAACTGGGCAATCCGTGTCAAAAGCCTTAAAAATTTATCTAACTTTTGATCCTAAAACTCCACGCTTCGGGTGGCTCTTACGAAACGGTGCTGGGCAAAACCAGAGACGGTCCCAGGAATGTCGTGGCCGTGGTGCCCACGGCAGGGAAGGGCAGCACGTCCGTGTCCCGGGTGGAGCGAATGAACCACACTTATGCACCGGGCCCTTGGGAGTGCCGGGAAAAATCTGGATTGGTTGCAGTCCCACCGATGACGCGTTGTTAGGCTGGAAAAACAAGGTACAGGATGGTCTGCTCATTCAAAAGCAGACAGTGACGGCTGGAAGGACAGACAGAAAAGGGGGAGTGGGAGCATTCTCCGAGGATCTGAATTACCGTGCTATCTAACATCTTTTTGCTTCCAGAAAGAACATTCTTCCCTCCAAAGGATGCTGTTTGGTTTGCCGCAACGCAACGCCCCCTGTGGAGTAGGTACCTGGTCAGCGTGCCGAACCAGGGAGCAGACAGACAGAGGGAACAAAGCACTTGGCCACCAGGCCGGCGAGTGGGAGGCGGCAGACGGAGTCTGTGAAACGGAGTTTCACGTAACGAGAAAAGCACTGGAGTGATGGACGTGTGACCGTCTCCTCTTAGCTCCTCTCGCAGTGGGGCACGTAACTAACGACGAGAAACGTCCAGGTGCCTTAAAATGTCACATCCGAGGGGAAAATCGTGCGCTGAGAGCTATCATCAAGTGGCCGCACGTGGGGGTGCACCGGGTGCCGGCCAGGGGAGGAAACAGCCTCCTCATCTGCTGGGGGTTGGGGGGGGTGGGGAGGGGCCGCCTGCGGCTTGCCTCGGAGACGCTGGGTGTGGTCCCAGACACCACAGCACCAGTCCGTGAGCTCACTGGTCTCCCCGTGCGCGTGAAAGTTGTGTTTACGAGACACTGTAGTGTGTCAGGTGTGTTAACAGCTTCATGTCTACAGGAATGTACAGACTTGAGTTAAAACGTATTTTACTGCTAAACAATGCTAATCATCATCTGAGCTCTCAGTGAGTCAGAATCCTCTCGCTGGAGGAAGATCTTGCCTCGATGTTCACGGCTGCTTGGTGGTTGTGACAGTTTCCTAAATTAGTCAACAACGAGGTTGGTCTGGTACATCAAGTGACTCCTCCTTTCGTGGACGATTTCTCTGTGGCACGTGATGCCGTTTGACGCCATTTTACGCACAGTAGGAATCTTTCGACACCGGAGTCCGTCCTCTCAAACACAGCCACGGCTCTATCAGCTAAGCGTATGCATCTTCCAGATCCTTTGTGGTCACGTCAACAGTCTTCACGGCATCGTCACCGGCGGCAGATTCCGCCTCAAGAAACCACTTCCCCAAGAAGCAACTCCTCCTCCGTTCAAGATTTCCCCCAAGACCGCGGCCACACATTCAGTCCCGTCATCAGGCTCCGCTTGCAATTCTGGTTCTCTTGCTGTTTCCACCCCATCGGCAGCGACTTCCTCCACGGAAGGCTGGCGTCTTCGGTTCGTAAGAAAGGGCAACACCTGTGATGCGCGATAAAGAGACGTGTGCCTGTACCGCCTCACGGCGTGTGTGCAAATATCCGTAACTCACAGGATCCCTGAGGTGCTGTTTAACGCGGTCGTATTTCAGCGTCCTTTGGAAACACACACACCTTATGGTCTGTTTGGACGCCATGAGCGCAAACCAGGAAGGAAAGCGTTTTTCGCGCAGGGGCGCCTGGTGTATCTTGTCCTGGAGAGACCACAGGGCTACAAAGCATTCGCTCACCGTGACCCTGCACAGTCACGAGCTGACGACCACCGTGGAAAGCACTTTCCCCAGACAGAAAAACTGTTGGTCCAAGTAGAAGAAATACCGACACGCTGTGCCGAGGAGAACATGATGGAGACGGCCAAGGAAAGCAGGCACCACCGGGCTGTAATCACCCAGGGACGAAACGAGCAAACGTCCTAATGTCTGCAAAGTTATAATTTCCTCTTTATAATCACTCTATTTTTTTTTTTTTTTTACCTAATTTATTTTTAGAAATAACTCAGCCTTCTGAGAACTGCTCGGAGGCTGACTGCCCGCGTGCGTGACGCTGGCGGTCTCCGTCCGCGGGGTGACAGGATCATCAGCTCCCACGCGCTCCGCACAAAATCGGAGCCTGGCCTCATGCCCGCTTCACGCCGGGCCTTCTGGGCTGGAGGGAGCTGCCTTTCCAGGCCCGGGGCGCCTGCTTCCGCCGTGTGTAGGCCGCGGACCTTGTCCCGGCCCGGGGCCCCTGGCAGAACAGCGGTGAAAGGAGGCGTTCCAGCGAGGACCCACGTCGCCCTGCGCCCGAGGGGCTGCAGCCAGCGGGGGCGTCACGAGGCCTGCGAGTTCTCAGGAGAGGTCAGCTTCTACCAGCGCCCGAAACCCCCAGGGGCCCCCCAGGTGGACCTGACCGTCAGAGGCCACCCCTGCCCACCAGAGGGCGGTAAACGGGATGGCCCTTTCCTATCGGTGAGTCTGCAGCAGCTCAATTTACATGAACACGGGACTTGTACTTCAGCAGGGGCAGGGGGAGACCTGGGGGGGGGGGGAGCGGAGGAGCCAGCGCCAACCTTAGCTCTGCCGCGTGCTTGTGCGCACGGGTGTCTACAACAGGGGGCGGAAAGGCTCAGCCCTGGCGCCCATATACCCCGAGTAAGATCTGTCGACCCTGCGGGAGGGGACGACTCGTTGCTAAATATCTAGGGGGAAGGTTAAGCGACTACGTGTACTCAACTGTACCCTCCTGTAAGTCAGCAGGAACTCAAAAAGAACTCAGAAAGACCTCCCACTCGGCGGGGCCGTCTGCGGCATGAAGCGGACGGCGCTTCGGGCTCCGTTCTCCGTGAACTCCGCAGCGAGGCGGCTCCCCACGCAGGGCGCCCCCTGCCGGTGGCCTCGCTCGCTCGATAGCGTGAAGCTCCCCTGCTCTTCCTGGGCACCGGCCAGAGCCTGCCTCTCCCAGGCCGCACAGCCTGCTGTGTGGAGGCAGGCTGCTGGCCGGCCCTCTGGCCCTCTGGGCCCTGGGCCTGGTGCAGGGCTGGCCCGAGGTAGGCGCTCCAGGGACACCTGGGCAGTGAGCAGCTGGGGCAAAGAGAACGAGGTAGAAAAAGAAAGCACGGAAGGAAGGTCCTGGAAACCACTGCCCGGAAAGTCACCCAGGTCTGGTCAAGGGCACAACCGGCAGCCAGCCCCGGGCCCCTCGTCTCCCCTGGAGCACCCGTCCTCTCCGCCAAGTGCCTCCAGAACCCTCTCTGTGCCCACGCCCCTCTCCACCTGTGGCACAGCTGGGGGCGGGGGCCTGACCACGTGTCTCAGGCTGGTGGTTAGTTACCCAGGCGCCTCCGAAACGCCGGCTCTGGGGTTCCTGACCACCTGCCCGCGCTACTCTGCTCCCCCACGACACACGGATGTGTGTTTGTTGGCTGACGTTTTAACCTGTGTCTTTCTAAAGCACAACAAACACTTGGATTCTCTTCCAACAACGGTTCTCGGCCACCGTGCAGAGCCCCAGGGGCACACAGCAGCGAGGCATCTAGGACCCCACGGGCCCACGCGTCTGTGTTCTGAATCGGCCGGATGGAACGTGCTCCGAAGGAGGCCAGGAGGAAAGGCTGGGTTCAGAGCTGCTCTCCCATCTGGACACGGGGCTCACGTTTGCAGGAGAAGCAGTGGTCAGTGGCAGGCAAGAGGGATGAAGTCCCAACGGTGCCCCGTCCAGGGTACCTCCCGGCCTCAACCGTCCGGGCCGAAGGGCACCCGCAAACCTCGGTCACCTCGAGGGAACCAACCATCTGAATGTGCCAGGCCGGCGCAGGGAACAGAAAGGAACGGAAAGCCCGCACTGACCTCGGCGGGGATGCTCGCGACGGCGGGCGTGATCCCGTTCTCGGTGCTGACGTTCCCGGAGCTGTTGTTGGGCGAGCTGGGCGCGGAGCCCGGGGCGCTGCTGCAGGCCGAGTCTGTGGGGCGGAGAGACATCTGTGAGCCACGCTCCGCGCAGAGGCTCTGGGCGAGGCCGTGGCAGGTGCCCACCCGGGCCTGGGCGCCGAGGGGCTCCCGGGGACTTCTGCTTCCCACCTGCTGACTGGCACAAGTCACATCATGAAAGAGCCTGACCGCGGTCCCCGAACAGGGGCCGTGAGGCTAATTCCCTATTTTTGGTTTTGCTACTGACTTCCTGGCGAGCTCTGCACACGTACGGCTCTGTGGAGGCCCCGCCTGAGCCTTTTAAGCTGCGCACGTTACCGACTTTATTCCTCTTGGACCTCGAGATGATCCTCTACACCAAAAAGATAAGCCCTTAAATGCTCAGTAATAACCCGACAACAGGAGACCGGGAACCACAGAGGCCGAGGAACTCTGAGTAGGGAGAGGTCAGATTTACCGCGCTCGCTAGCAAAGCCACGGGCCGCCGGGCTCCTTTGGAACGAAAGCCTCTCGCTTTTCCTGGGCGACATCAGACGCCCAGGGCAGGTGCCGCCCCGGGTGCTGTGACTGGTCGGGGTTCCCTGGAATCGCACACTAGTTTATCCTGCAAGTGACTTTCAAGGTACGGGTGGGTCCGCCCTGCCAATCGGGCCCAGGCTTCACGGCGACTTGCCTGAGACCGGGGAACGTGCTCACCCTGCCCCCTTCTCACCGCCACCGGAGCCGCCGTGCCACCGGTGTCTGTGGGAGCGTCTCTTCAGCTCTCTCTGCTTTCTTGTGTCGTGGGCGTCGTAACAATGGCCTCACCGCGGACTGTGACCTCTGGGGTCCCTGGCCCTCTCGACCGGCCGGCCGTCGGCCCGGCGACACCCGCTCGGGCTCGCCGCGGCAGCCTGGCCCCGGTCAGGCCTCCCAGACAGTGACGTGAGCTCAGACCGGGTCCCTGCTGCCCCCACACCAAACCCAGGGCTTACTTCTTCACTGGGGGTCACGGCTCCTTATACGTCACGGGACTGGGAGCCGCTGAGAAGGGCCCGGGGGGAAGAACTGCTACACTTTGTGCACAAGGCAGAGCCGCCTCCTCCAGGCCTCCTGGCTCTCGGGGGCGGTCCCCGGGGCCCCGCCTCGGACGCCATCCCTGCTGCTCCCGTCCCAGTCCCAGACTACCCGCCGGCTTCCACTGACTTCCTGCGAACGTGTGTCCCCTGCAGGGTCACCGCACAGACCCTCTCGCGCCAGCGGGTGAGAAACCGGGGCAACAGAGGTACACGTCCAGCTCTTCGACCGGTTCCCACTCAACCACGCGGCTTACTGCTCGCTCCGCTCGCGGGAAAGTGGTGTAAGAAACGAACACAAGTGTGTAATCGTGTTATTCGCGTCAGCACAAGCGGGGCACCGTGTGGCATGGGCTGGGCGGCGGGACGGGCACACAGAAGACAGACTGGAAGGAAACACGCCCCACAGTGAGCAGCAGCGGCTCCGGCTAGATCTCTGCTCCTGCCGCACGCGCCGCTTTAACCACCGGGGAGCAGCAGCCCGGGCCCCGCCCGGCCGGGCCCCCCCCCCGGCCCCCCCCCCCCCCCCCCCCCGCCAACACACACACCGGTGGGCCCCCTTCTGCACTGCCACGCGCCCCTGCTGCAGAACCCTCACCACCTTCCTTGAACTCCTTATTCTGCCTTCAGGATAGCCAGCTCTACCCCGGCTGCCTGGGGCCTGTGGGGCCCAGGAGCCCACCTCCTCTCGTCTCTCTGCCAGCTGCACTTATCTGCCAAGCGGCCCCCCCGCCTTGCCCGCCCCGGACTCCTCTGCGGTAGCACCACCCGGGACCCGTCGGCTGGGGCGGGCACGGTCTGGCCTCTCAAGTCGGATCCTGAGCTCCGTGGAGGCGAGGACCCGTGCCCCCACTTTTACGTGTAACCTGGTGCGGACTCACGGTAGCATGAAACCGTCACGGGCTGACCACGTGAACACGAGAGCCGGCGCTCAGGAAGAAGCCTGCCCACGGCCCCGCCTCACCAAGTCCGTGGCCAGAAATAACTGCACGGGCTCCTCCGTCCATCAGGGCGGCCGGCCCACGCCAGGCACCCGTCAGAGGAAACACAGCTGCACTCACAGCCTCGAAGGGGACCCCCAGCTGGGGAGACTCCGGGACTCCGAGTGACAACGCTCTTCTCCTCAGACGAGGCCCGTCTGTCCTTGACGGACCCAGCGCAGAACCCTGCGCCGAAACACGAAGAGCTTCCGCTTTTCCCACAAATGCTCAGAGGCAGGAGCTTACGTCGGGGGTGTCTTCCTGGCTAACGGGCCCTGGAGCGCAGCGGGACAGGGCAGGAGGGCCCCAAAGAGCTCTCACCTTAACTCAGAGGCGCCGGAGCTCCGACCCGTGTGCGCGGCACTAGCCGCTTCCACACGGGGACCAGCCCCGGGGAGCCCCCTTCCTCGGGCCCTGAGAACCTACCACTGACAGGCCGCTACCTACAGCCTTGCCTCTCAAAGGAGGCCCTGTGCTTGCCGCAAACACGGCTCCCTCCCGCCTCGCCCCCAAGCCACTTCTGAGCAGCGCCTCTCTCGGGGTGCTGATTTCGGGCATGTGGATGGGCACCCACAGGAAGCGGGAGCATACACTCCGGGCTGGGGTGTGCCCTTGCAGAGGGGCGCACCCTCGTGAAGCGGGATGTGCCTGGGGTCGGGGTGGGCCCTCTGGAAGCGAGGTGCACCCTTGCAGTGGGGGGCGCGGCCCGGAAGAGGGGAGCAGCGCCCGCAGGAAGGAGGGCGCCCCTCAGGCCCGGGCTCTGCCGGGGGCGTACTTCTGCGTGTCCACCGCTAGGTGGGGGCCGAGAGCAACGCTCACCAGGAAAGTGGAAAGGAGCGGTCGCCCTCCTCTCTCCCCCTCCCACCCGTAGGACCCCTGCCCCGTGGCCCAGACACCGTGATGGGCGGTGAGCAGCTCACAACCGTGTGATTCACCATGGACGGGGCAGGATCGGGGAACCTCAACTCAAAACTCCTGAAAACACCCGGTGCGACGTCAGACAGGACTTCCCTGACCGTACCCAGGCCGGTGGACGCCACTTTCCGTGGCTGAGGCCCGGAGCAGACAAGGGGTGCGGGGGCGTGCTTAGAGACCCCTGCCAGGGCACTGGCTGTGGCTCTTGGACGGCTGGCGCCCCGGGGACAAGGTGCCGTGCAGAGACGCGGGGCCTCGGAGGAGGTCTCGGAAAGGCTCGCAGCGGCTCGCGGAGAAGGCGGTGGCCGGGCTTCCACGACTCACGGGACGTACCTGTGACATCCAATGGACGCTTCTTTAGAGCGGTAACCACGGGCCCGTCTTTTCTGCGTAGCAGCGGGCTGCTCCGTCTTTCGGCCACCTTCTGCTTTAGCCTGGACCGCAATTTCAAATTGGGTTCAGAGGCTGCACAAAAAGGAGACGTCGTTATAGTCAGACACTCACGACGGGGACCAAGTTTATCTCACTGGCAGCTAAAAAAACCATGCACATCAGGCCAATATCCACTCAACCCTGCTGTGTTGTTGCAGGGCAGAGCGAAGGCAGCGTTCCTGAGGCCTACGCAGCATCTTTTCAGTCCCACAAGATGCACAAAGGCCGTCGGACGCCTTCGGCTCCGTTTCTTCGGACAGGGTTACCTATCTGTGCTGGTCGTTTCGGGGCGTCGGCCCACAAATGTTGTTACGGCTTCTATAGTCTCCACTTCCTCATTCACCTGCGTATCAGAAATTCCTCCCACGTCTAACCACCTGGAAACAAGCTGCTTGCTGGGGCTCCCGGCGACCTCTGCCAGTGGCCGCCGTGGGGTCCTAAGGCCAACCAGTCCTCCACACCTGCATGTAGGTGACCGAGCCCACCTCCCTCAGAGTCCACCTGAACGGGGGACACAGGTGTTTCGGCTTGGTCTGGTTTGTTAACGGCCCTGTGCTGTGCAGACCTGCAAATCTGAGCCCACAGTGGTTCCCAAGCCTCTGCACCCGGAGCCCAGACCACCCCGCGTACCAATCGAGCTGCACCTCTGGGGAAGTGGGGGGCACCCCAGTGCGAGCTGCCTGGGCAGTGCCTTACTGCACCCAGAGGTGCCCCGTCCGGACACCTGGGCAGGAATCTCCAACTCCACGAGGCCACCAGCTTTCAGGGCCAGGACAGGGGTAAGAGCACCACTGGGAGACGTTGGCTTTCTGGGGTTTTACTTGACTGCTTTCAAGTTCCTGCGACTTGTGCGTTTGCAAATTAGCTCGTTTTTACCTTTTTGTTTGTTTGTTTTTAATCAGCGCCCCTGCTGTTTTTAATCTTTCTGGAACAGGAAGTTCACTGCTCTCCAGAGTGCCACGCAATGCAGTCGAATTTCCCTCTGGAATCAGAACTAAGACGACTGGGTTTTAAGAAGCAGGCCACGCGTGCATCTCAGGGGCCCCGTGACTCCGACCCTTGGGGAGCGTGGGGGGCGGGGCAGTGGCCTGGGGACCCCACTCCCCGAAGGAGGCCAGGTCGGTGGGTCCTGGAGGGCGGAGGGCGTGGCCGGGCACCTGAGTGCTGCCTCCCGGAGGAATCGAAGGTGTGTTTGAAGAAGCCGCCAGATTGCTCCCGATGGCCCCCCTGCTCTGGAGGGTGTGAGGCAGGGACGGGGCCCTTTCCCCTTTGCGGTGTCTGGGCTTAGAGCGGGTGCCCGACCACTTGTAGGACTTCCGCGGCCAAGAAAAGTGGGAGGGGTTCATCTCCACAGGCGGAGGATCCACGTTCATTGCTTTCACACTTGTTTTGCGGGCAACGCAGACTCCTGTGTTCCACTCACTTCTGGGTTTGCGCGGGGTTTCTCGGCCTTACTTAACGTGAGAGAAAGGCCACGACCCCGTGTGGCTAACCGGCAAGAAAAGAGCAGCTCTTCCAATGCCACCAAGGTCTCTGCTAGAAGGACACCAACGGTCCTCTCAACAACCTTCTGTCCGAGGAGGGGTCGGCAGCTGCCCCCGAGACTGCAGGACAGCGCGGCCCTCGGCGGGGAGCGCCTGGGGACATGGGGTGCGGGGGTGGGGGCGGCAGGGTCACCACGCTCCCGACACCTGGTCGAGCGACGGCACCGGCCGGGACCATCCTCCCCGAGGACCCCAGGTTCCCTGTGACCTGCAGCCTGTGCCGGGCAGGCCCCAAGCCCATTCCCACCGCACGCGGCTGCTGGCCCCCCTGTCCGGACCGTGGGACGGCCGCACTCCCCTCACGGTGGCCCCTGAAAGGGTTCTGCTCATCTGTCTCTTTGCTGGTCTCCCCCTTGCCCGTGCTTGAACATGAAATTCAGGCCGGTCTGAAGGACTTGCCCCGCCTCCTGGGAGCTGAGCACACTCCCCCCGCCCGCCCCTCCGCGGGCCCCCATCTCATGTGCGGTGCCCAGTGCAGAACGGAAACGAGGGACACTGTGTTCAAGATGTCAAACGTCTCATTTAAGATGAAAGCAGGGCATTAAACTGAGCGGGGTGTGCCCCGCCCGCAGCCCAGTTTAAGGCACCAGAAGGGCTCCACACACCGGTCTGGGCCCTTCCCTGTCCCTCTGGGGCGCCCGGGACCGCCTCCCCATGGAACCCCCAGGTGCAGGACCAGGGGCTGAGCAGCAGGCTGGGGACCAGGCGGGAAAGGAGGCAGTCACCTCTCAGTGTAGGTTCTGGGCCGGCCTCCCCCCCGACCTGCCCCCGGACCTTGGCCGGGCTGCAAAGGGCTCTGAGGTGCAGCAAAGGCCCTCCTGCCCTTCCTTTGCTCTGGAGAAGGCACGTTCTCCGGCAGCCGCGGGTCCAGGCGTTGCGTGAGCTCGAACGAATCGTGCAGACCCCACAGAGGAGACACGGTGACCCCCACTCCAGCCGTTCCTAAGCCTATTTCCTGAGATTTGCCGAAAGCGTGTAACCCAGGCCGCTCTGCACGGCAGGCCATCGGCGAGACAGCGGACCCTGGAGACCGCACCCGCCACGTGCAGGGTTGCGCGACCCCCACAGGCCCCAACGAGCAGCTCCTGCCGGCCTCTGAGGTCCTCAGGACGCATGCCAGCTCCCAACGGGGCTGGGAGGAGTAAGGATACGCCTGGATGTGTTCCTTCGAACAGAGCCGCGGCAGACCGAGAGCCAGAGCCTGAGGGAGGTGTTTGGGAGACGTGGATCACAGCCGTGTGCTGACGAAACAGAGGACGCTGACCGGATCCACGGACACGGTGCCTGCTCTGCCAGGGGCACGTGGGGAGCCGGGAGGTTTCTCCTCAAAGGCGATCAGGTAAATGACAGGTTAAGTCAAACTAAGCTATCCTCATCTTGCCTTAAAGTTCGACCCCCTCCCCAGCACTCGCCCCCCCTTGGGCAGGAAGTGCCTTTGGCCGAGACGAAGAGTGCGCTCGACAAACCCTAACCCACACCCAGTTTATGAACGTCGCGCTCTCCCTGAGGGTCGGTCACAGCGTAAACCGCTTTCAGGGTGGGAACATTTTACTGTTTAACAGCCAGGTGGGCACAGGGGCCGTACGTGCCCGTGGCGCGTGCACAGAGGAGGGTCCTTCTGGAAGCAGTCACTGGTGTGTGGGCCTGCCCCCACACCCGGCAAGGAGAGCAGGGCCTGAGCCACCGAGGATGCCCACGACGCCGTCTCGGCCGGGCACGCGGACGGAGCGTGTGCCTCCAGCTGCCCCTTCCTGAGACCCAGGACAAGGCACAGGACAGAAGTGCAAGTGTGGGAAGAAGGCATCTGGAGGAAAAGGTGAGAAATTTGGAAAACGGGCGTGCAAAGGTCCGACATCGGATTGACAAAGAGCCAAGACAGGGCAGAGCGGGGAAGGTTGCTAACAAGGTGACTGAAGGGACACTGTGCTCCATCTGAAGAAGGCCTGCTGCCCAGGAGGCCTCACAGCAGCCCTCGCCAGGCAGGCCCTGCAGGGTTCTGGAGCTCCGGGCACCAGGGGTGGGCCTCGTCAGCGGTGCTGGATTCCCCAACGGTCACTCGGACGCAAGACGAAGACGCGAAAGTCCTGCAGGAAAGTGGCTTCTGCATCCGACCACGTCATCAGTCAGATGTGAGCCAGTGGGGACACCCACCAGCATGCCAGGACTCACGTTCGCATCCGGCGCAAGCTCCTGTGCCCGTGCGAGGTGAAGGAGGGGCCGCGCAGGAGCCCCTGGGGTCCTGGGAAAGGGGCGGAGCATCCCCAGGGGGGTGAGGGGCCGGGAGCATGTCCCCCAGGCCCCAGGGGGGCCTTTGGGCCACGTGCTATGCAGGGGCTCCTCCATGTGGATTAATAACAGGCACACAGAAAACGAAGCAACTTCAGGACAAACAAGTTGTGTAAATAGAGAAATGCAGGCAGGGCCACTTCATGTTGGTGTATACTTTCTGTAAGTCACCTGTCACAGGGCAGGGAGGGGCATGTGTTCCCGTCCTGAGTCTAGTGGGGCTCTCTGATTGACGTGCATTTATCTACTTTGAAAACAACAAAGAAAAAACCCCCCAAATACAACTGGAATATAACTTTTGTAGCACATGTATCTGACGTAGGATTGGTATTAACATATCAAGAGTTCCTACAAAGTCCCAAGAAGACACCCAAAGGAAAATGGATGAGAGATCAGCCATTGGACTTCCATCCACTGAACACCTAGGAACCCTGCCCGTTGTCTAGCGTGGTTCTAGACATTGTGCCCAAGGGACGGACAAGAAAGCCCCGGCCTGGCCGGCAGGCACTCTGAGCTCTGCACAGCTCGCCGGCTACATGACACGGCCACCCAGGGCCCCACTGCAAGTAGCTCACATTCTACGAGGAAGGATGGAAAATAAGCACAAAGATGCTCCAGCTTTACTAGCTGTGACGGAACCGCTCCTGGAAACGTCGAAGGAAGCAGGGTGCACTCATCCGTCGCGTGGGCCAGGACGCACACGGTAGCGCCTGCTTGACGAAATGGGGACAAACGGGCGGCAATGTGGTGTGATCCGCCCCGTCGCTCAGAGCGCGCAGCCCTTCAGGCGCGCAGCCCTATCCTTAGGGACCCATCCCACAGAGACACCAGCACAAGCGAGCAAAGGTACCCACATTTGTTGGCCAAGTTACGCTACAAAAGAGTTGCAATTTATACCCACACGTGAGAATAACACAGAAACAGGTATCGATCTTTCTACCCCGAAATGGAATCGTGTGAACAACACATACTGCCTGAAAGATAAAAACACAGGACAAGATGCAAAGCAAGCGTTTTTCTTAACAAAAAGACGGGCCTGCGTGTTCACGGCGCACACGGACAACACTGCCACACGCGGGGACGGAAGGTCTCTGGACAGACAGATACCAAGCTAATAGCAGCAGCAGCCTCTGGGAAGTGAGCTTCAGGATGTGTGTGTAATGTGTGTTTTAATCTGTTACAGGCACACATTCTGTGATCTTTTAATAAAGAAAAGAAGCACCACACGCTGCTTGAAGGTGTCATGTCCCCCAGCTGATTTCCGTTGGCCACCGGGAGCAGTGTGGACGTGCCACCGAACGGTGGGATGTGGCTCTCGGAGAGACCGGTCCGAGATCCCAGCTGGTGCTCTGCATATCAGAGGGCCAAGGGTGATGGTCGGCAAGGTCGAAAGGCTGGAGCACAGAACACGTGAGCCAACTTCCTTGCACAGAAGCTGCCTGGCATTTAACCACACCCACCCTCTCTCTCCTTTGGAAACACAATAAAGCCTTTTGAAGAGCTCTCTGAACACTCACACCCGGTTTTTAAAGAGCACACAGCCCCTGAGTGCCGAGGGAGGCTGCCCACCTGGCAGCTGGTGCTCGGCGGGGCCAGCACTGCCCAGGCCGCGGTGGCCTCCCACACCCTGCTCGGAGACCGCTCGGAGAGGTCGGAGGCCAGCGGCCCCAGCCCCGAGCAGGAGCTCGAGGGCCATTTATCACAGGCGACCGGCCGTAGCGCGTGGGCATCGTCCCCTCCTGTCCCTGCTACCGACCCGCACAGGGGTTTCTGCGAAGCGGCTCAGAACAAGGTACCGACGGCACGCGGCGCGGGAAGCAGCCCTTCCCGAACCGCAGAGCCGAGCGTCGTGTATGAAACGCGCCCATTCCGTGTCCTGGTAACTTCAGCCTACTTCTCACACGGACACGGAACCAAATGCCACGAACGTCATTCGGTTCGCCAGGACACGGGAAAATTCGCTGGCTTGTTGGTATGTTTCATGGCTGCGGAGGGCACAGAGAACCCACCTGGCTCTGCACAGGCCACGGAAGGCTCTGGCAGATCTCTGTAAGGCGGCGGGGACATGCTGGGCTGCGGGCTCGGAACGGGACCCTGGTGCCCAGAGGCCAGCGTGACCGTGTCAGAAGGGGCCTGAATCCATCTGCTTTGTGTTTGGGGTACAAGCCTTGCCCTTCACGTGCCTGGGCCCCCTCCCTGGCCTGGCCCTTGTGCTGAGGGGGTCCTGCTCCCCGCCCACCACAGCAGCTCGAACCCCAGCACCCTGGATGCACGAGGCAAATGCTCACCGAGTCACCGCCCTGCAGAAATCGGGGGGCAGAGCGGATGTCGCCCTGGTGCAGGCACAGGGCGCTGCTGGTCAAGCACAGGAAATTGAGTCTGGATCCCAACTCACTGCGGTGTGACTGGGCAAGGCAATCAGCCTCAGAATCCGCCCCCAGGGGTCACCGCCAGCCTTGGGGAGCCGCTTGAGGACACGCAGGCTCTCCACAGACAGGGACTGCATCCCCTGGGTGTCAGGGCACCTCAGGAGGCACCAGGGGAGCACCAAGTGACTGGGTGCGGTCCTGGGGCGATGCACCAGGACCCTCATGATGCTCATGTGACAGCAGCACAGGGTGTGTGAGGACGGGCACTGCCTGGGCGGGAGGGGGAGGGGAGCCGGTGCCGGGCCCACCTCGCCCCCTGCTGGGTGGGTGACCCAGCGGAACTGTGCACTCCTGCCCGGGGCTGGACCCACCAGGCGCCACCTTCTTCCCTCTGCTCTGGAGAGCAGACCCACCCGTTATGACCCAGCCTCTGGGAAGTGAGTAAGGAAGCTGGATCTGAACCCAGGCCACGGCCCCCGAGCCAGGGCGAAGTCACCCCCTGAACGCGCAGGGGCGTGGGTGAGTCGGTGCGCTCAAAGTCCCATTTTTGTAGTCTTTCCTCTTACCGACTCTTACAGAAACGCAGCTATAAATTATTTAGAATTACTGACATCGAGTGTTGGAAAGACACTTTTAGAATGATACAGGACACCTAACTACACTCTATTCCCTTAAGTGGCTTAAATGTTTCCACTGAAATCTTTATATTATTAATATTATTAATGTGCTGGTGACGCCCTTTTAAAAAATGGATCCCGCAATCAAATCTTAATTAAGTTCTTCTGGAACGCCGCGTGCTCAGCGGCACCTCCCCAACTGTGACCAGGACAGTCTTCGTTTCTCAGCGGAACAGGACCTGGGGCGGGGATGGGGGGGTTGCTGTGGCACAAGGTCCGGGCAAGCAGGTGTTGGAGGCCCTGTTTCCAGACCCCAGAGAAGCCCAAGGCAGCATGGGAGCCAGCAGGCACAAACACTGGAGGTCATGGGGCCTGTGAGGCAAAGGTCGCGGGCCACACAGCTCTGGGGAACGGCAGCGGGTCAGCAGTGGAGTTCACTGTCCCGCCTCCGGAGTCTTCCGGGACCCTGGCTATAAGAGGTCACCGCCGGGTTCTGTGTCCTGTGACAGGGGCCCGTCTCCGGGTGGTGCCGGCCTCGTTCGGCTGGGAGACGGAAAGAACCGGGGCAAACGTCCCCTGACGGGCACCCCCACTTCTGCTCAGAGTGGGGCATGTGGGCTCAGGCCAGGGAGCTGCGTGAGCGCCACCAGAGGCAGGTGACGTTCTCTGTCCTTTCCTGGGACATCAGGGGGACGAGGCGAGGTGAGGCCCCTGGGCCAGAGGTGGGTGGCTCTGCTTGGCGGCCAGGTCCCCGGACTTCTGCTTCCGCGGTCGGGACCTTGGGGGCCACGCTCGCCACACCCGGGGCAGGAGGAAGCTCTGCCTGCTCAGTGTATCCACGGCGGGGAAGATATGGGGGTGCAGGGCCCCATGTCACTGATGGGAAACTGAGGCCAAGGGGACCTAAGGAATCCATCAGAGGGCACACAGAGCTTCAAAGCCAGTGAAAAGATCCAACCCGAGCTGCTGGACGGGGGAGCCCACAACCTGCCCACGCACTTCGGGTGAGGGGAGCTTCCGGCGGCTCACTCTTTCCGGGCCCCGAGCACCTGGGGCAGGCCCGGTCTCGGCCCCTCTCCCGGCACGGTGCCCGCTGCTGCCCGTGACCTCCTGCTCTGCGGATGTGAGTGTGGTTAAACACAGCACCAGGTTCCAGAAGGAGGCCTGGGGGGCCAGCCCGGGAGAACTGGCCACCACGCGCTTCTGGAGAGCACGTGGGTTCTCTCTAGGCGAACCCACAACCGTTCTCAGCGGACGAGTGAGAGCCACGTACCCCAAACTGAGGAGAAGAGGACCACAGTGGCACCTTCCTTTCGCCAAGAAAGGAAGCCCTGCCCGTGCCTGCAGGGTCCTCGCCTCGGCTCGGCCAACCCCACCGAGGTGCCGGTCGGGGACTCTGGGCTCCAGCTCCAGGCCCGTGGCCTTCGTGGTGCGGTCCTTCCATCTCACACACCCGGACCGTCAGTCAAGCACTACTGAGGGGCCTCCCCACAATTTCTGGCTCTGGATTCAGGGTCTGCTCCCCGCGTGCCACACCGACTCCGCCGGGGCACAGCTCTGACTACCGAGAGGCCCCGAGTCTTCTGTCTTTAGGGTGGGGCGGCGGGGGAGCCGTCCAGCCCCGTCCCCCAAAGCCTCATCACTCACGTAAAGATGCTGATGTGACTGCCTCAAAGCGTATCTGTCAAAAGTCAACCCAGATCCTCCGGGTAAAAAAGATTGGTGTTTACAAAGAAAAAGCTGTGCCACAAGGGCCTCATTTCCACCAAGCAGGGCGCCCTGGAGTTTCCCACAATGCTCTGCACCCGCGGGCTCCACGCGCCGCGTCTGCGACCAGGGTAGCCCGTGGCCACAGCCGGCCCTCACCTCTCGAGGCAAAGCCTCTGGAAGGCACTCCTCTGGCCTTTGCCCTTCCGGCCACCCTCGTGCCCCAGCCACAGCCGCTCTGATCTTTCTTAAAAGCCACTGCCCGCTGAAACCATCACCGCTGGACAGAGTCCAAGAGAGCCTGAGTCTGAATGCCCTTCTTTGCTGGCGACAGAGCCGCACACACCCTGAGGCGTCGTGCTGACATGTCCTCGCGGGACACAATGAGGTCCTTTCTTGAATACATTTGCTCCTACCCTGGGGCCCCCGGCCGCCCCCGCTGCCCAGGCCCTGCCTAGAGCCGGCGCTGAGGGCCGAACGCTGGCTGCCTTGCTCCGGCAGGACCCTGGGCCCGTGGGCGGGAGCTGCCGTGTCCCGGGCCCACCAGGGGATGCTCCGAGCTGTGACAAAGTGCAGCACGCCATGAGCTAGGCTCTTGTTCACGAATGAGCTTGAGTGTCAAAGGGCAGCTGTACTTACGTGAGGTTCGCTGCTTTTGGTATGAACCGTCAGGAAGCGCTTAAGGATTATTTTAACACGATGCTCTAATAATAATTTCAAAAAACCCCAAATACTTAAAAATGAGCTGGGATTCCCTCCGAGTCCGCATCCCAGCCTGGCTCAGCGGCTGGGGATGTGGGAGGGGCCGGCTGGGAGCCCCGCCCTCAGGCAGCAGCAGACCCGGGCACTGACCTGTTTTTCTGAGCGGGAAATCGTCTTTGGTGTCGTACATTCCCAGGACCGGGTGGTTGTAGGAGGCCGACACCCCGCTCTGGGGCGGGGAGCTCTGGTCGAGGGAGCTGTGCTGTGTTTTCCTGCAGAGAAGAGGCAGAGACAGACGGCCGAGTTAGCCAGGGTGTCACATCAGCCCCGGATCAGCTGTGGCCGCGCATGGAGACCGGCCTCCTGGCGGGGGCCAGACCAAACTCGGGAACCCAGGCCGAGCACGACCTCCGCTGCCGGACCCTGGTGCAGGAGGGGCGAGGGCCCGTGCAACCCCCCACCGTCACCCCGTTCCCGCCTGGGGGCTCCCTGCACTGACTGCTCTCTGGCCACCCACCGGGTCACCGCCAGACGCACAGGGCCTGTCCTTGGGGCAGACGGGTGGGGTGGGGGTTGCATGTGCACAGAACCAAAGGCGGTCAGAGGTGACTGAGATCTGGGGGTGTGTCTGGAGCTGGTGATGATGAGGTCTGGGGTCCCCAAAGGGACGTCCTTTCAGCAGAAAACACCGTCATCTGCACCTCGAGAGGAACCAAAGCCACCCAGTCGGCCCCCTTCTCTGAGGACGACGGGTCTGGACTAGGGCACCCTGTGCCTGGAAGCTGGTCTGTGCAGTTTCCTGCCCCTAGCGACCAGCCAGGCATGACTCAATCCTCAACACGGGGAGACAGGGTCGGGCTCCGGGAGGAGGTGCAGGGGGGCGGGAGCAGGGGTCGGGGCTGGGGAAGCGGTGCCACTGGCCCTCGGCCAGACCATCGGCCAGACCATCGGCCAACTGGGGCCTCGGTGGGACGGCCGGCTGGGCCCTGCTGGAAGCATCCACGCAAGGCGTGATGAATCCCGTTGTGTCTTTCAACTGCGTGATCTACTTAATGACCTGAAACGATTTGCCAACTTACTTACTTGGCATTTGGTAGCCTGTTTATTTGGATCCACAGCACCGCGTACGCACACACCTGGCGTTGTCTGAATGGAGACTGTGGGCTCTTAAATGCCTACAGGTGGATGTTTAAACATCTGAGCGCAGACTGGTGCTGCTCACGGAGAATGTGCCGCTCGCAGAGACCCGCCCTGTGAGCGTGGCCCTGACACGTGGGCCGTGGGGCCCGGCCGGGCTACGTGGCAGCAAAGTGCTCAGAGAGCCCCGGACACGGCCCGCCGGGCGCCTGCCAGCAGCAGCGAGAGCGCGGCTCCTCCCTCAGGACGCGCTCGCGTTCCCGGGACAGGTGCACCCACACACCGGTACCGCGCGGGGGGTCGCCGCCTCGGGTGGGAAGGCTTCCCCTCGGGGGCCGTTCTCTCAGGGTCTCCCGAGAGGTCTGAGGGCAGCACTGTCTCTCTACGGATTCACATCCCCAGAGGGGATCCCCTCGGTCAGCTCCAAGTCGCTCGGGGCCAAGCCACGACGTGGGAGAGAACTCGCCTTTTCCTCCGTGAGAAACACGGGAGGACCTGTGTGTGCGTGAGGGGACGGGAGAGCGAAGTAATAGTTACTGACGGGGTATCGCATCGGTGGACGTTACTACAAATCCTATCTGGTGTCGCTAGAGACTTCAATTGTAGATCGTTTCCGATGAGGCCAGAAGCTGGAAACGCTACGCTTCAGACCTGGCAGGTTTTCTCTTCCGGTTTGCTGTCTCGAGACGCTGTCAGCATTAAACCTCCTGACCCCCGGTCCAGCCTTCGGAGGAGCCTCGACAGGAGGGTCCGGGCGCAGGCTGCCCCAGTGCCACCGCCGGTGCTGCCCCGTCTCGGGCCGGAGACTTCGAGGGAGTGACTCCCGGCAGCACAGCTCAGCTCCTCGCGCCTGCGGCCCTGGGGTGCCCGCCGCACAGGCCCCCGGGGCCCCTCCAGGGCAAACCCCCCCCCCCCACCCCGTCACACCCTCCTGGGGACTGGGCACGTGTGGTCGCTCCAGGCCCAGGTCCGGTCCCTGGCCGCACGGGCACGGCACACTGACGCGCTCTCACATTTGTGCTAATTGTTGTGGGTGGAGCGAAGCTAGGGTCAAAGTTCAGTTCCTTCTCCAGGAAGACCCAGTTTTCACCCTCACAACAGCAAGCGAACATGACAGTCACTCCACGATGTCGGCCTCGGGGTGACAAAGCAAGACAGAGGCCAAGTTCCGTGCAAACAGCGCTGTCCCCTGCCTGACTTCCCTGAGACCACGTTCTTCCGCACTCCAGCCTGTGTGCCCCAAATCCCTCCGAGGGACCTGAACCCAGAGCAAGCAAGCTTCGTCCAGTCGGGGCCCTACCTCGGGGAGCCCTGCTCAGGGAGCGGTCCCTGTCAACCCCTTCTGGGACCCTCACCTGCCCTCAACCCTGCGGCCCTTCCCTCAACTCCAAGCTCCCTCCTCATTGCTCTGTTTCTGTTCCTGCCGGGACCGCCCCCTTCCCTGCAGCCTCCAGGACGGGAGGTGACGTGCTCTCCCAGCCCACAGGCTCGGTCCTGTCACGTATGAACCCGTCACCGCGGCCTCCGCTCCTGCCAGTGGTCTCCCCACCCCAGGATCCCCCCGACTCACAGGGGAGCCTGGCACCGGCCACCCCAATCTTCCGCCGCGACCGCGGCCACCATCCGAGCACTCGGACGCGGTCAACCCACGACTCCTGCTTGCCACCACGTGACCTCCTCCAGGCTCACAGTCTTCTGGCCCCTCGCCAGCTGTACCTCCCCAGAACCTGGCGCTTCCCCGCCCGCCGACCACAGCTGCTAAACACTGCAGCCCCGCTATCTGAGCCTCCCTCCCGCCAGCAGGCCCAAGAGCCCCTGCCCTCTTGCCGCCTCCACAGGCCTGTGGTCCCGGGTTCCCCCAGCGCCTCCTGGTCTGAGGCCCCGGCCCCTGCCCCCGCTCCCCTTCCTGCCATCTTCAGCGCAAACCCCGCGGATACCGTCTCACCCGCTCCCCAAACCGCCTTCCGTGGGGCATCAGCCCATAGCCCCCAACCCCAGGGGAGGATGGAGCTTTCCCACAACAAGCACCCCAGCCAGACGTGGGCCCCCGGGGGCCGCTACAAGCGTTTCTAAGGAATCCTCCACGTGGTGGCTCTGGGGCTCACGGTGTCACCCGTGGCTCTTCGGGGACGCTGTTGCCTTTGCTCGTCCGTGTGAGTCGTGTCCCCGGCTGAGCAGCGTGCACGCCAGCCGCATGCTTCGATGAGTGCAGCTTAAGGGACCGAGCAGCGAGCGATGGCTGCACACAGAACGAGGGCGCCGTCTCTGCCTCGGAATCAAAGTACTTTCTGACTGGTCACTGGTGTCACCTGCCAGGTCCTCGGGATCATCTCAGCGGAATGTGGTGGGGTTTTTATTTAGTCCACACAGTTGTCCGCTGGGAGCTTGAGAATAATACATTTTCCCCCGATGAAACAGAAGGTAATCATATTTTGATTTATGAAAACCACCTTATGGATTTTGTGAGAGATGAAATCAGCCCTGAAAACGGGAGAAAACTAGATTTCAAAGCAAAAAGCCGCAAAGCACCCTTGATCACTGCTTAAGGCCACATAAACCCGCTCCTCCGCTCCAGACGTGGCCTGTGCCGGGGCCAGCTCCCATGTGACGGGCTGGTGCTCAGGGGACATCCCTCTGCGCGCGGGCGTTGTCACGGACTTTCCTGCCGCGGTGCGCCAGCCTCTCCGGCTGTTAGCACGAACGAGGCTCTCTTGTGGCCTCTGTCAACCACGTGGGCTCTGCGAAAGGGCTCCTCACGTGAACATGAAAAACAGCACAGATGCTACGGACCTGCCTAGCAGTCAGTGAAACACCGGGTAGAAATCCAGCGGGTGCACACGGACAAGTTAGACCGCGGTGCCAGTGAGGTGGCTCCTTTTGTGGCCAAAATACACAGGAGAAGAGTAATGGCCAGGCACCAGCCTCTGTCATGCAAAGACCGGCCCCACTCTGTCTGGGTGATCGTCCCGGCATTTGCCGCTGGACTGCGCCAGCTGTCGCGAGCCCGCTCCCTGCTTGGCGAGTCTCTGCCCACAGCCTCCCCCGCCTCTCAGGGTGAAGACCCGGTACCGCGCCGGCCTACGGGTGGTTGCCCGGCCACTGGGGCCCCAGACAGGAGGCCCGGTCGCCCGCACCCCTGCACTTACCCGTACCAGTAGCGCGGGTCGCTGGAGATGCAGTGGTTCAGGTTCCGGTGGGCCAGCGCCTTCTTTTTATTGAGGACAAACTCCTGAAGCTTCATCTTCACTTCTGTGCTGGCCACGGCACCTGGCGCGGGAGAAAGCACAGACAGGTGACCGGGGGTGGTGGCCCAGCGGCGCGGACGCGCAGCTCTGTGCTGGGGAGGGAGCAGCGGCTCAGAGCCCGGCCTGCGAGCCGAAATCAAGACGCTGCTGGTGCCAGGAAGGCTTCTCAGAGGAAGGGGAAGGACAGGAGAAGGGTTAAGAAGGGCTCTTCCTCCCACGAACATTTCGCAGAACCGCGCCCCATCGACCACGGAGAAGTAACCAGCAGACGGATTCACTGTCACCTAACACGGATCGGCCGCCGGGGGCACTTTCGGACCCTCACGTGAAAGCATGTGGTGAACGGGCGCGGGCAGCACACGGCTCCGTCCCCGCTACGGCACACGCGGCCGAGCCCCGGAGGTTGTGTGCACGCACCGCCACCAGCGGACGGGAGCAGGTGCGCCGTGACGCGCGTGTCCGCGGCGGCCTCGCGCCCGAGGGAAGGCGGCTTTCTGCTCCTGGGCCGCTTCCCCGGGGCCCGTGTGGGCAGCCTGCATGAGGGCAGTGCCTGCGCCTCGCGGGGTTCTCGGGGGCTGGCTGTTCACAGCCCCGGGGACAGAAAGCTGCATATGGGAGAGACAGACGTGCGCACACAGATCCAAGTCCAAAGCCACCCCCCTGACGCAAGACCTGCCCAGTCCCATCCGTTCTCAGCGCCCCGTGCAGCACCGCCTGCCTTCCCCTTGCAAGTGGCGTCAGTGCTTCCCGTTATTGTCGAGAATCCCAGCGGTGCTTTTTTTTAATAGTAATGTTTATTTACTCATTTACTTGAGGGGGGGAGAGAGGGAGGGGGAGTGGGCAGAGGGAGAGAGCGAATTTTAAGCAGGCTCCACGCTCGGCCCGGAGCCGACCCGGGGCTCCATCTGAGACGCCGTGAGGTCTTGACCCGAGCTGACATCAAGACTCAGACGCTTAACCTACCGAACCGCCCAGGAGCCCCTCAAAGCACCTTCTAGTTGCTTCCCAAAATGCCTCCGTACACTGACCACCACGAGCCAACCGTGGCCATGCACCAGAGGCAGGCACCTTGTACCTCCGGGAACACTCGGGATCACCACGTGACCCTGGTCTGCATCAGTACTCGGGATCACCACGTGGCCCAGTCTCTCTGCCAGTACTCAGGACCACCATGTGACCCTGTCTCTTCTATTAGTACTCGGGGTCACCCTCTGACCATGCCCTTATCAGTATTCGGGATCACCACGTGACCCCATCTCTCTCAGTACTTGGGATCACCACGCGACTTACGGGTGTGCACGCACGCGCATGTGCCTCCAGTTCCTGGCACCGAGCTCCTAAAACCCTTGTAAACTCCTAAGTGGTAAGAACACTAGGGCCATCTCTTGTTCTGATGCAGTGACCCTGGCTGGACTCTCGGAAGGCTCCTGGAGGGGCTGGTCACCAAAAGACCAAGCCGTGATTAGAAGCTTGGAATCCTCAGCCCCGTTGGATTGGGCGGAGAGGGGCTGGAAACAGAGTTAATGATTGCTCACCAGGAAGCCTCCATACAAAGTCCCAGTATGGGGTGCAGAGGGTGTCCACACTGGGAAGCACATGCACGTACTGAGAGGGCGACGCGCCCCAGCTCCACGGGGACAGAGACTCCCGCGCCCGCGACCTGCCCGTACCTCGTCCTGCGCACTGCTTCTCCTGGCTGCTCCTCTCTGTCCTCTGCCACGTCCTCTACTAAACCGAGGAGTGTCAGGAGCCTCCCCCTGGGTGCTGTGAGCCGGCCGGCAAGTTCAACAAGCAAGGAGGGGGCTGTGGGAACCTCTGAGGACCTACAGCGGCTGGTCAGACGCTCGCGTGACAGTCTGGATCGGCAACCGGCGTCTGCCGGGGGGACTTGTGGGACCGAGCCCTCAGCTGAGCAGTGTCCAAACAGACGGGCTGCAGGACAGCCGGGGGTGACGGAGCGCTGCGTCGTGGGCAATCCCAGCAGCGTCGCGTTCCGGGTCCGCGTGGGTCTACGTAAAGGGCAAACGCAGGAGGAAAGAACTGGGTTCCTCCCAACAGCGGAGGGAAATACTGGTTGTTTCCCAAATTTGATATTCAAACGCTTGTTTGCACGTAATCTGCTCTGGTTTCCCCATTTCCCGGAAGCTTTGAAATTGATCTTCCTTTTGCTGGTTTGGTAAATAATAAGTTTTATTTTATCCTTGTTTCCCCGGTGTTGGGCTTTCATTCATTCATGTGCTTGCTGTTGCTATGTGTTCACGGTTCTTTCTGATGCGTGTGAAATGGATTTTGGTGTATGTGACTCTCTAGGTATTTTGACAGGTTGCTCGTGAATTGTTAGCATCATCAGAGAAACCATCTTTCTTCCCACGGTTATCATCCGCACACTGAATTCTGTCCAGCTGTACGTAAGTCTGCCGTGCTCCAGGGCAGTGTCCCCTGCAGTTAGGTCACAGTGGGCCTTGCGTGTGTCGTGGATGACAGTCAGACAGCACAGACCCCTGGGAACAGGGTCCAAATTAGATCATCCAGGGAAACACAGGTTCACCAAACCGACCCCAAACCACCTTCAGAAGCTCCCGTCACGACACATGGACTTGTGTCTTGGGCCTTCCCAGGCTCTGGGGACATGGCCCCAGGGGCATGTGAGAAGAGAAGCCTGCCAGAGCTCTCTACGTGCCGGGTGCCAGCCAGCGGGCACGGTGTCCCGGCGACACTCGTGAGGAGGGCACGGGGGACGACTAACGCTAACAGGCCGGGCCGTGGGGGGTGACCAAAGGCACAAAGTCACACCTGCTTCCGGGCAGCGCGGCTCAGTCCCCCGAAACGTAGCCAGTGTCAGAGGGAACACAGATTCTGAACGTGCAGAGCCCATGTTTCCTGCCTGCAAGTGGACGTGTCAGAAGATCGCACGTGCAGACACAGAGACCTGCCTACAACGTGCCCGGACATGCAGTCACGTGGCGTTCATGACAGCGCAGGGGCACCAGGAGGGTGGCAGAACATACGCCAAGGGCTAACCGCGACCGTACACGGCGGGCCTGGCAGCCAGGAGTGAGACGAAAGACAGGGGACACAGAGGGTCGCTGACGAAGGGGAAACGCGAATTGGCCAATAAATGTGCGAGATACGCGCAACCTGCGGAGATGAAAGAAACCACAGTGAAACGAGGAGTTTGGTTGTTCCCTCTCGGGCTGCTGGCCGCGCAGGGAGGATCAGACTTCCTGCTGAGGAGGAGCGGGAGGAGGGGGAGCAGGAAGACCCGGACGGAGGAAGAGCAGATGGCCTCCTGGTCCTGCAAAACTGCTTCTGGAAGAGTGGACCACGCAAAATGGCAGACAAGCAGCGGACACTCTCGGTGGGCTGTTCCCGAAAGTTTCCCAGCAAACCCAAACTGTGCGTTAGCTCGCCGGATCTTCCCCAGAACCACCGGCCCGGTGGCTCCACTTGCCCTCCACGGGGTGGGGGGATGCTTATGACTCCCCTGAGGGCCCTCTGGGGACAAGCTGGCCCCGAGGACCAGGTTTAGGCGGCTTCTGACTCTCCCTGCTTCGGCCACAGCCCTGGCTGATGTCTCAGGCTCCAGAACTCAAAGGAGGGCAAAGAACAAACGCCCCACCGCGGCAGGGAGTGCACGCGACAAATCCCAGCGACAGGCAGGCACAGCGGGACGTGGCGAAGGACAGCGGCCCCTCCTGGAGGAGACCCTGGCCCTGTTGCTGGCCAGGGCTGTGGCACCTGCCAGCCACCGGCAGGGCCTTGTGCCCTGAGCTGCCCGCTGTGTCCTCACGGCAGGACATACGTCTGCGGGACTGACATGGGGTCCCTCGGCCAGCTCGGGCCGGGACAGGGCACCTTACCAGGCTCTCGTGGAACCAAATCAGGACCAGCCACCTCCCTGAGCTCAGGAAGGTTCCGACATAAATACACCACACGAATGCCGCAGCACCTCCTGGGCACGTCCGGCCGAGTCCACCTTCCAAGAGGGGGCAGACGGTGACCTGGTCAGAAGGGTGGACCCTCCCTGGCCCTTCCCAGGCCACCTGTGGCTGGAGGCTGACACACCGGGCCCTTCCTCACAGGGGCGGTGGGCACGACTCACACCCATACACACGCGGGACCCACGGCAGACGCCGGGCCACAGAGGGACCGTCTTCTCTTCTTGGCACTTTACGTGAAGGCGATTCCAAATGGAGCTGTCATCCTTCCAGTCATTGACCCATCTCTCAACAGATTCTGCCACCTTGACTTCTTATCTGCAGGTTGTTTGTCCTGGTCACGTATGTTGAAATCTTTGCATTCTAACTGTGTCCTCGATTCCAATCCAACATGCATCGCAAAACGCTTCTTTTGACACTTATAAAATACTTGAGTAAAATTTTTTCTTCTCTCTTTTTTTAACTTTAATTTCAATTTTAGTTTGCGTAGTGTCATGTTAGTTTCATGTGTACAATATAGCGATTCCACACTTCCATACGTTACTCTGTGCTCCTCCGGCTTCCTCTTCTTTATTTACTTACTTATCTATCTATTTAGTTTGAGAGAGAGAGAGACAGAGAGAGACAGAGTGAGTGAGCACAGGTAGGGAGAGGGGCAGAGGAAGAGAGAATCTTAAGAGAGAATCTTAATCCAACCTCAGTGCAGAGCCGGATGCGGAGCTCGATCCCACAACCCTGGGATCACGATTTGAGCCGAAGTCAAGAGTCAGGTGCTCGACTGACTGAGCCACCCAGGCGCCCCTAGATTCGTCCACTTTAAACCAAAATTATAGAGTCAATAAAACACATTCGATAAACAAATACCAAATGTCTTTCATTTTTACTTAAAAAAAAGTATTCCCCTTGGTTATCACGCATCCATCTGACAGGGTTTCCAGAGACCTAATTATGCGCTAGGGTCTGATCCGGCCATGGGGATAAAGATGTAAATAAAATACAAGAGATGAAGTCCCCTCCCCACAGGGAAGGGGATCTAAGGACCAGGCACCCGTGGGCGCAGGCAGAGGAGAAGGTGCCTCTGGACACGGCCCGTCGCAGGTTTTCCGTGTGGCCTCTGCCTGGGATTGGCTCCTTCTTCTCACGCCCCGCTGGGCTCTGAGGAAGCTCCCCTTCGCACGTGGGATAGAGAATCACCTTCTGGACCAGGCGCTGGGTCTTTTAACTCCAGCCTCTTCAGCCACTCTTTTTTTTTTCCTTTTTAAAATAAAGTGAATGACTTTGCCTCAAACGATGGCACGTTTTCCCCACCCGGGCTGTGCTTGTAAATAACAGCGAAAAGAAGCGTAGCTGTATTCGTCCCAGACTGCCCAGAGAACAAAGACTTGCCTTCGATTGATTCTCCCTTTGAATTTGTGTTAAAAGACGGTATGTCTTAGATTCTTAAATGTAGTTAATCTAAGTAAAAGTTCCCTGACGAAAGATCATCTGTTCATGCTGAAGGAGACGAAACCTGCCACAAGTTCCAAGAATACACTGCTCCTTAGAGCTAACAGCATTGACTGCTATCAATAAGCAAAAGAAAACTGCAGAATTATTTAAATTCAAAGTACAGTAGATGTTTATCAATGTAACAAAACTTTAATTAAATATTCAATAGGAAATTCCCTTTTAAAAAAACCCCAAGAAACTAAACAGATGCCTTGCCCTGCATTTTCAAATGCTGACAAACGGGAGACGCCCCAGGCCATTTGCATTTCCCCACAAACGCCCTTTAAGCTGGTGGGAACAAGGCTCTCCTTCATAGGTGCAGGGCTGCCCCCAGTGGCGCGGGGCACAGGGGCCTGCCAGGCCTGCCTTCTCACAAGACCACACTCAGGGCTGCAAAGCCTACACAAGCGAGCCAAATACCCACACTGTACACAGTTTATTATTAATAATAAAACCTGACCACCCAAATCCACAAATTGAAAACCACCAGGGCTGCTGTGAGTGACGAGCGAGGAGGAGGGAAGCAGAGAACATTCCAACGCTCCAGTTGTGGATGTCGGGGGGGGGGGGATTTAGGAGGTAGAGAAGAAATTGTTTTTGACTTGTAAACAGATCTAAAATGTTTTCCGAAGGCAAATCTTTTCGCATTTTGTGAGGCTTAAGATGTTATTTTTATTGGAAGCTTCTGGTAAACTACTAGGAACCAATTGAGCTGCTTTTTAGCAAATCTGAAAACCTGGATTTGTTGGTTCGTTGTGGCATACATCAACTAGCTGATGCTTAGTTTTAACGTCCATCCTTTGATGAACAACAATTACCCTCCTCGAAAGCAAAACATAAGTCGGATGTACCACTGAGGCCAAAGCAAAGCCTGAGAGAGGAGAAAGGACCAGGCCCCAAGGCAGAGGCCGCTGTGTGCGTGCGGCCCCACCAAGCACACCTGGGCCCCCAGGAGAAGGGCTCCTATATGCGCCAGGTGCTGTCATGTACAGGGCGGCTCTCCAGCATAGAAGGCGGCCCCCAACGACAGGCCATGGAGCCCCTACGACAGATCCCTAACACACAGCAAGCGGACTCACCTAGACTCACGGCCCAACCCCAGCTGCAATGAGAATCATCCAGGGAGTTCTAGAAATGTCAGCGCTGATGCCCACCCTCCCCTCCAGACCAGTGCATCAGGACATCTGGGGCATTTTCCTGACCTCACATGCCACACCACTCAAAGGTGGTCATGCCCTGGCCACACCTCAGCCAGGAGGGACCCTGGACACAAAGGAGTCCACACACACAATACAGGCAGTGGTTGGGCTGGTGCGGAGGTGGGAACGGAGGACGGTGTCATTGAGCCAGCGGGCTGGGCAGTGACCCGTGAGCATGGCCGCCTCGCCTGCCCCATCAGCCCACCGCAGATACGAGTCTGCCCTCAAAGACCAAGGGTATATGTTGCCAACCCAAATCTGCAATTTATCTTCTCCTGACGGCTTCCTGTCCTCATGCCCGGAGTCTCCATCATGGGCCATCGCGGACCCCATAAGCCATCGTCTTACCCGAATGGTGTGATGTAATGAGGTGTACCATTCAGCTTTAGGAATTACCTTAAAATACTGGTACAAAAATCAGATCTCACATGTAGTAAAAACTCTTCTGACATGCTTTCTACATCGAAACTCAACCAGACCATTATAATAAAAACACATTAAAGTATATGATTTCAGAAGCAAAATACGCCGTTAGTAACTAATGATCATAAAAGTTGTTACTTTTATGTATAAAACCAGTTACTAAGAACTTAAAAATAGTTAAGTGGAGAGACAAACTGAACACAAAAGTGATACACTAGCTGCGTATTCTAGGAAAAAACCAACAGCGTTTTGGAAAGAGAATATTTATAAAAATGTATATAGAACACAGGTGGGAACGTGTCCTGAACCCAGTGTAGAGAAGACAGATCAGGCCGCCGGAGCAGCGGGAGCCTGTGCTGTTTAAAAGGCGCCATCGGGCGCCTGGGTGGCGCAGTCGGTTAAGCATCAGACTTCAGCCAGGTCACGAGGTCCGTGAGTTCGAGCCCCACGTCAGGCTCTGGGCTGATGGCTCGGAGCCTGGAGCCTGTTTCCGATTCTGTGTCTCCCTCTCTCTCTGCCCCTCCCCCGTTCATGCTCTGTCTCTCTCTGTCCCAAAAATAAATAAACGTTAAAAAAAAAAAAAAGGCGCCATGAGGCAGAGCAGACAGAGCAGAGCACAGGACAGCATGTGGGACACACCACACCAAGGGAGAGCTCTGTGCGGGGATGTCAAGGGAACTACCCAAGTCGAGGAAAAGGGCGACAACCCACCACAAAAATGAGAAAGACACTTGAACAGGCACTTCTCCCAGGAAAGGAATATACCCCTCTGACAGGAGACATGAAAATGCACCGAGTCTCACCGGTGATCAGACTGTGAGGCTGAAGCCACAGGGGCGACCGCTCGCAGCCAGACTCAGAGTGCTGATGGCAACCAGGGTTGGTGGGGAAGCAGACACGGGAGCTGCCCTACAAGGCTGGAGGAGGCCAGGCCTCACGCAGGAAAGGGGGGGGGCACGTGCATACCTCGCATTTACCTGTCCGCACCAGGAAACGTGCCCGGGGACATACGTGCCAGCACTGTCTCTAACAGTGTGGGTCAGCAAACACCCAGATACCTACCAACCACAGGCTGGATGAATGTGGTGGGACGCCTGTGAGTGGGGCACAGGCAGCAGCCTGAATCAGTGATCTCCCGCCACACAGGACAGCAAGGACGGACTCCACGAGTGTGACGGTGAGTGACAGAAGCAAAACACGAAATCCTGCGTATTCATGAAGCCACTGACATCAACTTCAAAAGCAGGCAAACCTGCCCTCCGTGTTAGGTGCCAGGGAGGAGTTACTCTGTGGAGGAGGGAGGGGCCCGGATGTGGTTCCCGTCCTGATCCAGATGCTTTGCTGGGAGGTGAGCCTGGGAACAGGGTGTGTGCCTTTTGTATGTATATCGCACCCCAGGACAAAAGATCCTTAAATAATTTCAAATAAGAGACTTCACAAGAATCTTTTAATGCGTCTTGTGCTGTCGTGCGTAGGTAGATTAAAGTCCACACGATGGACTGTTACGATGGTTTGTCTGGATGACTGACCATTTTCAGTAGCTGAAGACACTAGTTTTGTGAGGTTTATGTGTGTTCCTGAAGTGTGTGAAGACTAGTATTTTTACTCACGAGCACTGGAAGAGTCAATCACCCTAGAATCACCACACCAAAACCCGATACAGGAGACAAATGCACACCTTGACTACATCATCACCAGGGAGCAAACAGGCTCGACTCGGCACGGATGTCTCAGGCGGACACAAACTGAGCCTGCGAATATGTCACCCGCCGACTCTGCCTTCTAGGTCCCGGGCGCGTCACTGGAAGCAAGTTGCCCAAAGAAAGGGGCACGGACGCACGTGAGGGTTGTGCCCCTTCAGCCACAGTCCCGTGTGTGGGACCCACGAGGCTTCCCAAACACGGGTCCCTCACCGCGCCCGCCGGACGTGCTTTCCGCCCTCCGTCTGGCAGGCAGCAGGGGGCCGTGGCTCCTCCCCAAGGGACACGAGGGAAGTCCCCCTAATCTCCCAAAGGGGACCAGCACATGGAATCACCCCCTGGCTAGGATCGAGCCTGGGCCCCTCCTAGGAGGCAACCCCGGTCCTCTGACACGCAAGCACAGGGGCGAACGTTAGGGCCCTGAGATCACGTGTCGGCACCCGCGTCCCCGCTCGGCCCCCGGTGTAGCCCACAAGCCAGGCCTGGCTCTGAGGCGCTCCCACAATGCCTGTAAGAGGAAAGAACTTTGAAACATTTAGGACGGAACCGAACTCACAGGGGAGAGCCGCTCCCCACCTGCCCAGTGCGCTTCAGGACGCTCTCGGCGACCCGGACGGGGTGCTGCGGCAAGGACACGGACGACACCGGCTCCTGCTTGGGCCGCTGCCGCCAGGCCCGGGAGCACAGCAGCCACGGGAAGAGCCATGTCGGGGAGGCCCCGGAGCCCGCCGGCGTCCCCCCCACCCCCCTCCGTACACTCACTCTCTTTGCCTTTCTCCTTGTTCTTGAGCTGCTGCAGCTTCTGCTCCCGGTGCTGCTTCTCCAGCTCCTGCTCCTGGCGGTGCCTCTCCAGCTTCCGCTGGTGCTCCAGAAGCTCCTGCTGGTGCTTCATGGCCAGCAGCTCCTGCTGTTGCTGCGAGCAGGGAAGGAGGAGACAAAGACGGTCAGAGCCTCGCTCCCAGACGGGACAAGACACACACACACACACACACACACACACACACACACACACCCCCGAAGACCGGCCAAGGGCCACAGGTCTCCGCACCGTGTCTCCCAGAGCCAGGCTGTCCTCTGCACGGCCAGCACCCCTAACCGGGGGGGAATTGGCTCGGCCCGGTCCACACAGCAAGCGTGGCTGCTGGAAGCCCCGGATGCCGGCTGACTTTCTACGTGTTAGAAATTATGAAAATAAACGCCCCTGAGCTGCCGGGAGGAAAGAGGAGGCTTGGGTGATGTCGCAAGCCGGGAACGGTGCTTTGAGAATGGCACGGCGGAGGGCGACGCGGAACGGCCCCCCTGGCGGACCACTGGCACCTCCTCGAGTCAGGTGCGCGTCCGCCCAGACCCCGGCCGGCAGGTCCCGGGCTAGCCCGAGCCCCAGAGACACGTCCGTGCCAGGCCTGTGCGACTAGCGCTCGGCGGCCTGCTCCCAACACCCGGGCTGGACACGCTCCGACGGCCCTCAGAGCCCAACACGCGGGCCAACCGTGCGCCCCCGTCGCTGGAGATCCACCCGGCGAGGAGGCAGAATGAGGCAGCGATCCATGAGAAACACAGATGGGCCGGAACAAGCCTCACGAGTGTGCAGGTGCCGACGGGCTCGTGGGGAAAGGGTGTGAGGTGGTGGCGGGGGACGCCCCGGGACACGGCGGCAAAGCCCAGGGTTGCGTCCGCGCTAGGCCTGAATCGCTTCGAGTACGCGCCCTCTTTTCTTGTCATCGTCCGTCCTCTTTCTGTGGCCCCTCCCGGGCGGGTGGCCATCCTGCTCTGGTGTGGGACAGGGGTGGGGGCAGCCCCGGAACTTTCTAGCAAGGAAATCTGGCCCAAGTGTCCACATCTGAGCCATCAAATGTCTTTCCCACAGAGGCCGCAGGGAATGGGGAGCAGTGCCACCACTAGGACCCTCGACTGGCTTCCCGGGCCCCGTTCCCACCATGCCGTCGCCAGAGTAGGGAAATCACCCGGTTTCTGTCACCAACTAGAGCACATAGATTAAGAAATCAAGAGAACGGGACTTCAGGTCGCTTAGAGCCCTTCTCTATAAAGACGCGAGATGTCACCCGTCACGGCTGGGACTCTTCCGAGGTGCAAATCACGTTGTAGCAAAAACGTTAAAGAAGAAGAACAGCAGTTACAGACATTCGTGAAACGGAAGTCCACACTCCCTCTCTGAGCAAAGCCTGCAGCCCAGGAGGGGGAGCGCCGTGCCGGCCGATGACGAGGACGCTCCGCAGAGCTTCGGAAGCGGCTGGCAACAGCGCACGAGGACAGGGACCAACCACCGGCGGGTATGTGGGGAACGTGCATGCAGACGGAGGTGCAGGATGCCAGGCCCGTGTGCACGGCCCAAGGGGCAAGGTGCCGGGCCACACCTTCCCACACGGCTGGCCCCGTGCCAGCCTCCATGAGACACACCCCATGGTGGCCCTGCCCGGGGAGGCTGCCTGACGGCAGAGCCCCACGGGACTGAGCCAGGGCGCGGCTCGCCAGAGGGTCACACACACACACACACACACACACACACACACACACACAGCCTCCAGCGATCAGGTGGCATTTCTCACTGCAGGGGACCCACAGCCCTGGTCCACAGTGGCCAGCTCCTACCTTCCACAGTGGGGAAGGGGACCCTTTTGCAGCCAGGGGCACCGGAGTGGACCAGCAGAGGGAGGTGTGAGGTGTGGCTAGGCCTCGAACCGGGAGGGCGGAGGAGGGGCGGGGCGTCCAGACCCCACAGGGCGCACACCTCCCTGCTGCTCCTGGGACTCACGCAGGCCCGGTGTGAGGCGGAAGGGAACTGACGCGGCAGCTGTGAGAGGAGGGCCACGCGGAAGGGGCCACGAGGAAGGGGCCCCGCTCGGTGCCCACCGGTGGGGCCCACGGCCACTGACGGGCACTTTGCAGAGCCTCCCTGTGGAAAAAGTTACATTCCAACCATCTTCCGTGGAGACAGCGAAACTATCAGAAATAAGCACCTTCCCAGCCCTTGCTGCCAGGGGACTTCTGGGGGGCGGGGGGAGAGGGCACCAGCTGGGCAGTCAGGGGACAGTGCGGAGCACAGATGCCCGGCCTCGGACCCGATCCCCCGCCCCCCTCCACGCTCCTCCACACGCCCCAGGAAGGTCTTTCCGCCGGTGTAGCGCCTGCTGACCCATTTGGATTCGGATGCGGATTCGAGAACCTGCGCGAGGGCCGCACAGCTGCGGGCACAGGTGAACACCCTCCCCGGGCTGCAGCCGTGCGCCTCCCGTGTGTCCGCAAGTAAGCAGCCCGCAGCCCGGGGGGCGTCCTGGTGCCGCTCAGGCCGGGAAACCAGCACGGTGGTCTGGTGAACGACAGATCTTAGAATCTAGGGGGCCCCCTCTCCGGGTATCACCCCCGCCCTCAAGCTGCCCTCGTACAGCCCTGGGTTCCCTTTCAACTGCTCCGTGTTCATTTGATGCGTAAATGAGGAAGGGGCAGAAAGTCACTTAATATGGTCTCAAAATATTTACTTTGCAGCCAGAACCCAGAAGGAGAGCGAGATCTTTCAACTGTCGTTACAAAAAACGGAAACAGCCGCACACGGTGGTGATTAAAATTCACAGGGAGACCAAACCCCCAGGAAGCAACACTGCCCTGGGGTTTTCAGGAGGAGCCATTAACAGACACGCGCTGGGTTCCCTACAAATGCTGCCCCCCCCCCCCCCGCAACACTGCAGGGTCTCGGTCCCGCTTGCGTCCCGTCTACAGGTGTTCATTCTGTGTCCCGGGTCAGGCGGAAGGCAGTGACCCGTGTGCCAAGGCCCCTCCAAAAAAGGCGCCGAGAACAAACCAGGCTGGGACACTCCCCACCCACCCCCCAGTGTCACCACACAGTTCAGGCTTGCCTCCGGAGTTTTGGACGGAGTGACCCTCTGTGCTCCCAGCTTCTGGAAAATGCGGACGTGGACAAGGTGCGGAACACCTGCTTCACTTTCCCGAGCTGGCTCGCAGCTCCGCGCAGACGGGGCTGCCCGTGCCGTGCGGCCACTCTGTGCCTGCCCGCGGTCAGGCCCTGACGGGAGGCTGCGAGCCGTCCCTCCCTGGGGAACAACAACGGTGCAGGAGGAAGGCAGCTTATGGCTATGAAAAATAGGACTTGGAAAAATGCCGAGTTTTATGTCACGTAAAATCCACACACGTATTTGCCACTGGTACCTCACCAACACACGTTAAGGTCAGACTATGGGCGGAGGAGAAGTGTGGAGAAGGTGGGGGCTTTTTCTGTTTTTTGCTTGTTTTGTAGATTGAAACTCTTCTGAGCAATTTAAAGATATCTACTACCTAATTTTTCTAAGGGAAAAACCCCGATAATAACAGATACCATTACTCCAACCAGAGTTTAACACCGAATTTACGCGTGAGCCAACACCGAGTGTGGGGTAAGATACTGGATCTCTAGGGTTCAGTTTTCCTCCACTCTGATTTTGGAGTTTAATTACCAACGTTGAAGTGGAAACCCAGGCGCCAGGCTGAAGGACAGAAGTGGGCCAGGCACTCAAGCACCATCCCTGCCGAGGGGCCAGCACTCCCCGGGCCCCAACGAGCGAGCTCCCGACGCGCTCAGAGTGCCTATCTCCGGGCCAGGTCACACGCTGCAGCAGCCAGGCTCGATGGAACCACATCATACCCCCTCTTGTCATTAACATGGGGACTGCTCACAGTGCGGGTCAAACCCCAATCTCTCGGGCCCCGGGTTCTGCAAAATACTTAATGCCGAGGCCGCGCCGTCTAAGCAGCCAAGTTCCCTGGGGCCTGAAGTGCCCTGTGCCACAGGTGCTTCCCAGAGAAGGTGGGGCAGGTCCGGGCTTTCCACACATAGGCGAGACCCAGGGGCCACTCGTGCACCAGCGTGGGCCACAGTCTCCAGGACCACAGCTTACCCAGGACCCCCCCACACACCAGGACCCCCAGAGGGGCTGGGGGCCCCAAGAACGAACAGTGGGCTTCTTTTTGAGGTCAAGGATAGCCTCCTGATTAAAAAAAATTTTTTTAATGTTTATTTATTTTTGAGAGAGACAGAGACAGAATGCGAGTGGGTTAGGGGCAGAGAGAGAGGGACACACAGAAGCAGAAGCAGGCTCCAGGCTCTGAGCTGTCAGCACAGAGCTCGGCGCGGGGCTCGAACTCTCGAGCTGTGAGATCAGGACCTGAGCTGAAGTCGGATGCTCAACCGACTGAGCCCCCCAGGCGCCCCTAGCCTCCTGATTTTAAACGTACTGTAGACTCAGGCAGCAAATGTGAAAATTAAAACAGTAAGGAAACTGCTCCAACCCTCCCTCTCAGAAGACACGGACTGGATGTCCCGGGAGTCCTTCAGGCCAATCACACGGCAAAATCCTGGCTTCAAACAAAAACCAACCAACCAGCCAACCAACCAGGAGCATCCTCCCATCTCCCTGAGGCTAACTGGCCTCAACAGAAATATTCTTAAGTTGGACTTTTATTAGCCACTAAGGGTCCAACGTGCTTTGTGCAAGGCGGCCCCCATCAGTATGCCAGGCCCGCGGCGAAGGGTTGGGGGGGGACATGCGGGGACCCGCCAGCCAGCCTCAGCCCCGTGTCTGCTCCCGGGGCTCTTTTCACGGCGCTCAGCACGACCCCGAGCACAGGTGACAGTTGCCTCCCCTTCTGGTTCTCTTCCTCCTTTGCCGGTGGCCCAGGCTGGTGATGTGCCCCAAACACAGGACAACCAGGCCAGCAGGAGAGGAAGGAAGAGGGACCAGGTTCCACGCACGGACGGCTGGTGCCCGGGGCCGGGACTCAGGTGGGCACGTCCACACCGAGCACACGAGGCTGGCCTGGGCCTGGTGTTCGCCCTGAGCGAGTCCCTTGGAACTTCCTCAGGGACAGATACTTTCAAAACGAAGGGGACAGGGAGGGTGCAGG